TGCATAGGCTACTGTGGACTTACAGCAGACCCCATAAGGAGGTCGCAGTCACTTGTTTGTGTTTTGAGAATATCAGTTTCCTTACAAGACACAGCCTGATAGGGTGATACATTGTATCCTGTCACCAGCAACTGGTTTGGCCGCTTGGGGTAGTGGTCACTTGATGAATGCTTGACTGCACAGGCCGGCCACTAGCCTTGCACCAAGGCTCTTACTGAATGATCAGCTCATGGATAAAAGTTATTCTCTTTTATGCAAGTCCTGGTAAGTCAAAAATCTAAGGATGGCAGTCTTTTGTTGTGAAGCTTTTGCAGGTCAAAAAGGCTAAGGAGATGTGTGTTTTACAAAGCTTATATTATCTGTAAATAATCATTCAAACTTAAATTCGTTTCTGTATAAAACCTTGTGCAAGTCCAGTAAGCAATGTCAACAGGCCTTAGAGTCCTTTGCTCTGAAGGGACATAATATTAACATGATTAACTGAGAACTCTTACTATGACTTAGAAAATACACTTTTGTTTTTTTTAATTTCTCTGTCCAAAGTAGATTTCAAGTATGTAAACATGCTTAGTATATAAATTACATAACATCAATTTTTGCTTACACGAAATGAAATATGAAGTCCATGAATTTGTGTTTTTTATTTTTAAGAAGACAAGCTAATCAAGGATACAACAGTTGCAAACACCCTTGAATATACTTGACCATGTTGGCAGTGTTGTCGTTGAAAATACAGAGGATTGATTTGACTTGGGAATCACAGTCAGGGATCATGTTTGCATATGAAGTTGCATGTCTGGATGGAAAATAAACCCATTATCATGGGTTTGAATTCCATATTCATCCCGAGTATTGCTTTAGGTTTATCTGCACCTTGCCAGCACTCGTGGTTTTGACTGAAGTAACAAGCTTCTTGGATTTGCATCATTCTGTGGTGAATCCTCCTACATTAAGCGAACATGGTGTGATGAAACTAAGATAGTGTAGTGTTAAGCCTAAGTTACTCCCTCACTTATTCACTGAAAGAAAAATTGATTATTTTTTCTCTCCAATTCTGTGTATTTTTCACAACTTACTTAAGTTGTTAGCCCTGCTTGAACATTGTTACTGGTACATTTTCTTTCAGTTTATAGTCCGTTTGGCTCAAAAGCGGACCGATGAATTGCAATCTAACTCGAAAACTAATAACCATAAAATACTCAATGAAACACTGATCATAATGAAAACGTCAGGCCTACTCTGTGAGGTTTTTGCAGAATTAATGTCCTAAAAATAAAAAAGTTGTTTAACTAACTATCATGAAAATATTGACACAGTTCACTATTTGTTACGAGGGAGGAGTGCAGAGAAAGGGACAGCCAGGTGTGCGAGAAAGGATGGAGACGGCACAGCACAGGTTAATGAATCAATAACTTTCTCGGCACTTGTGCAAGTGCTTCTCTAACACCTGGCTGTCCCTTGCCCTGCACTCCTCCAAATAGTGAACTAACAATATTTTAATGATAGTGAACTGTGTCATATATTTTAATGATAGTTTGTTGAGCCAAACGGACTATAGTTAGTGCCAGTTTGTAGTTATATTAAAGCTTTGAGACTTAGTTCAGAATTCTTCCACTTAAATGCAACCAATCTATGAGGATTGCCATCTTTGAATTTCAACTTGACCTTAGCAACATTTAGCAGTTGCTGGCATGCAGACTAGCATGAATTTCAGAGTGTACAGTATCAGTTCCGTGGGATTGAGATAGATACGATCGTTGATGGAGCTGTCATGTCTGTTAGTGACACCTGCAGTCACTGACAACATCCTCCTGTGAGTGACAGATTGTCCACCAGGTTGCAGCTACAAGAGGTGACACCATTACAGTGGCTTACAAAGCCTCACTCTTGCTGACCTTTAGAACCAGGTTGTGACTATACAGCCATGGTACATCACACCTGTATGCAGGGATTTATCTAGACCGGCACAGTTCCAGATATTCAGCCCTTCATCTGTGGCAAATATTAATCAAAATTTTAAAGTGGAATAAAAACATTTCCAATTCCTGAAAACTTACAAAAGTAACATTTAGATATTTAGATATTGAACAATATCATGACTTTGTCCCCATTTGCTTACCAAAGGCCATTCTCTGTCCAATGCATGTCCCTGTCGTGTATTGTTGTGTGGCAGTGCCTTGAGCATGTGCTTATTGCATGGATATGTGCTCTATATAAATATCCTATAATACTAAAATAATATAAGACAAACCAGGGCTCCAGATAATTTTTCATGATCAGGAGCATGTACTCCTTATTTTTTCAATATAGGAGTACTGGAAAACAATAAAAGTACATTTAGAGTACTGAATGGAATTTAATGGGGTATCAGTAATCTTGTGTTTTGTTTCATATATGCACAACAACATTGCTAGTCTTGTGCAAACAGGTCAATAAACAATGAAACAATACTTTTTCAGATAAATACGTCTGTAAATGATTCTAAGACCGTACACCATTGCTGTGGTGTGTATCTGCTACGTTTTCTAAATTATTTCCTACCGTATCGTGCTTATTTTATATCCGTACATACGCAGATACGGCCCTTATCTGGAGCCCTGACAAACTATTATGGATGTCAACTTCTTCTTTATTGTGTACACAACGTTCCTGGGCTATTCCTTGCCCATTCGTCATTCACCTGTTGGTACTTGAATACCAACTTCTATATGCCTCTCAAGAACCTCAATAATAAAATAATAAAAATGGCGATATGCTGTACAGCATGATACAGTGGGATAAGTTAACAAACAGGAACAGAGGTGTAGGTGATGATGCTTTGAATTTACAGGTTAGGTCATGTGAGGGTATCTAGCTGTGCTAGTCCAGATGGGTAGTCTGTTGTCCGAGTGTCTGGACAAATAACATTTGAGAATTGAGTTAACTTGGGGCACCAAGGATTGACATATAAGTACCTGGGATAGAAGAATTAAAGCAGTTCATTCACAAATGGACCACTCCGGCATATTAATTATGTTGTAGATGACACTCTTATCATTTGAGAATTGAGTTAACTTGAGGCACCAAGGATTGACATGTAAGTACCTTGGATAGAATAATTAAGGCAGTTCATTCACAAATGAACCACTTCAGCATTTCACCCATATAGCTCACCATCACAGAGTACTTACAAAACCTGTTACGTCTATTGGCAGTAGGAAGACTCTACTGCACCTTGGTGCTGGTTGCTTGGGCTGCACACGGTGTGCAGATGGAAGGCGATACAGTGCACTTGATGCCTGATAGCCAGTGACCGGATGCAGTGCATTGTGATGCTGTTGCAGTTCTGGATCTCAAATTCGCCTTCACCATGTTGGACATGGTGCTAACACTTTCAGTGGGGCTGGGAATGTCAGAGGTCTCTGTTTGACCATAATATGCAGCATTCACACATGGAGGAAACGCAATCCTGGTGTCTGACTGCAGTAGGCTAAACAGCTACATACCGCAGGAGTGATAGTCCTATTGGTGCCCTTCTGGTAAATGTGACATTTAAGCTGATATGGACTGCAGTTGTGGCCTAGTGGATAGAGTGTCTGGAGAGAGGAACGTGGGTGGTTCGACCCCTGGCTGTATCAATACAAATCATTTAAGAATGGTGCTTGCTGTTTCACTGCCTTGAGCCTGGAATTAGTAGAAAGCAGTGACTTGTCAGCTTGAAAGTCTTATACTGTTTAAAAGAAATTGTCCTCTTAATGTTGGTAAAAAATGTTTCACCCATAAAAACAGAAAATCTGTCATATTTCGAATAAAATTTGGTGTTCTGATATGCAAACTCATAAATCGGCGAGTTGGCCTCCTTAACTTCCCACTGCAAGATAAGTTATTTTCCAAACTTAAACTCTTAGTTGCATCTTTTTATATACATTTCCATACTTTGTAATGTTGCACACTACTCCTTGTATCAACAATGGCAAGTGAAGAAGTACAACAAATATTTATGTAAAAGATTATTCATGTTCAGGTGTTTATGTGAGCGTCTTTGTTATGAAAAACACCTATGGGTCGAAATGCTGTGTGTTAGTGGTAATTTTTGCATCGATTTTTTGAAAGGATGCGACTAAGTGCCACCATGAAGCGTTCTTGAATGAACTCCTGGCAAGTGTTATAAACTATTAACCAGTCAGATAAACTCAGTATCATTTTCAGATAAATATGCAAATAAGGTCACCTGGCAGTAAGTGAAGTTCTTAAGTATCCACTGTTTCTTATTATTAAGTAATGAAGAGATTATTATCCTTTTTTGATGCTGTAGCGTAAATATTTCTATAGGAAAGAAATATGTCTTATATTCAACAAATGAATGTATGATATATGTTTGCGTTCCTAATATGTGATATTTATGATAGTGAAAGGTGACCGCCTCCGTGGTGTAGTGGTTGCTTCACTGCGGCATGGTATCTCAGTGGGCTAGCACTATAAAACCAGCTTCAGTCTGGGCTAGTACAAGCAGCTGCACATACACATACACACGCATCCATGTCGTCATGTGAAATATTCTCAGGCACGACATAATTCCTATTTATGTAACAGTAAATAACATAGGCAGAGATATACCCTGAAATTGTCATTCAATATAGCTTCTTGGAGTAGATTGTTCATGGGCACCAAACTGTAGGACTTGATCTCTCTTTGAATATTGGGGGTATGGATGATCAATTCGCTCTGTTGATCCCCTGGGGGCACCTATGATCGTGAGTGTAAATCCCAGTTCATCCAGATTATGTTTCTAAATTCGTCAGCTCCATATGTGCTTGTCACCAAAAATGGAAAACGTCCGAGACCAGCATTCTTTCAGTGTTTCCTCCCACATTAAGCTGACATGCCAGGCAAATATGGACATGGCATTGAAATATGTATTAAACCCAACCTAACACACTCGCTCTTGAATTATTATATTTTTACCTTTTTATCAGTATGTTGTAGACATATGTTTAATGGGCGGTGTGTTGGTGTTGCAGACATCTTCTGACCCTGTGAGTGCCTTGGAACAACGACAAGAAGATGTCCTCCAGCGTTTGGTGGAGCTGCAGCAGTCGGTACAGAAACTCTCCCAGAAGTATGGAGTCCCTTTCTCCCTGGGAGGACAAGCAGCAGGCATGGTGGCTGCAGACAGCCCCATAAAGGTAATATCTTACATCGGTAATCTCCTATCATGTCCCATAACGGTAATATCTTACGTATCATGTCCCATAACGGTAATATCTTACATCGGTAATCTCCTGTCATGTCCCATAACGGTAATATCTTACATCGATAATCTCGTATCATGCTCCATACAGGTAATGTTTCATTCAGGTATTGTCCAACCTCTATCATGTCCCATACTAGTAATGTCTCATTCAGGTACTCTCCTATGATGTCCCATACAGGTAATGTCCAACCTAATTATTATCCCATACAGGTAATGTCCATCATAATTAATATCTCATACAGGTAATCTTCTATCATGTCCCATACTAGTAATGTCTCATTCAGGTACTCTCCTATGATGTCCCATACAGGTAATGTTTCATTCAGGTATTGTCCCATACAGGTAATGTCCAACCTAATTAATATCCCATACAGGTAATGTCCATCATAATTAATATCTCATACAGGTAATGTCCATCATAATTAATATCTCATACAGGTAATGTCCAACCTAATTAATATCCCATACAGGTAATCTTCTATCATGTCCCATACTGGTAATGTCTCATTCAGGTACTCTCCTATGATGTCCTATACAGGTAATGTTTCATTCAGGTATTGTCCCATACAGGTAATGTCCCATCATAATTAATATCTCATACAGGTAATCTTCTATCATGTCCCATACTAGTAATGTCTCATTCAGGTATTGTCCCATACAGGTAATGTCCAACCTAATTAATATCCTATTTAGATAATCTCCTATGATGTCCCATAAAGGTAATGTCAGGCACAGGTAATTGCAGCTAAAACATGACAAAGGACCACTACTGAACCGTTGCATGTGCATCCATTCCAGCAATGCACAGTCTAAGGGGAGATAACTTGAAGTTGAGTAAAATTATCTCCCCTTCATCTACATTCACTTCTTACTGTTTATGGATCTGGATCATTTAGGATCAGGGTGTATATGTATTTGTTTACATTTGTATATATATTGGTTTACATTTGTGTATCATATTCTCTACAAAATGATAATGTTTATGTTTTCAGCCTGGCGTGTTCCACGACATAGTGATCCAGGCTGACCCCAGCCGTCCTCCCCTCTCACTGCTGGTTCTGTACCAGCGACTAGCTGAGACATACAAGGTCCTGGCCTCCACCTTCGTCCACTCCTCTGCCACGCTGATGTACCTGACAACCTTCGGGACATCTTCAAGAATGGAGGGTCTGTGCCCAGGAGGGAGGCCCAAGTCTGTCTAACTCTCATTTGGAAACAAGGTGAGACTTATTTAGTTGTGTTTTGTCGTTTTGAAGACCCAATGCTTAAAGGTGTCATAGGCAATTTTGAGGAGTACCTTAGATGCACCAGGATTTGCAGGTTCCATCTTCACATGAACAATTCATCCATGAGCTATATTCAAGTTCTTATGCTTCACCTGGGTTGTGAATGTCTGCATTAACATTTTCCTCTAACATTATACAAAGACGTGTGTACCTGAAATGCTGCTTAACATAACTCACAGAAGGGATTTATGTTAGATGTTTATTATGATACAAGAAGTATATTATGCATTGACGTTTCCACATTAGATCACTCACGACTAAACTTTGTGATCAGCAAATATTGAAGCCCCAGAATATATATGTTTGATTCAGTATATAAGTTTTGTTATAACATTATTTTCAGTGAAAAATGGTCCAATTCTGATGATTAACACTGCCAAACAAAGTCCAATTTTCGGGGAGGCCAACATTGCTCGCTACATTGAACGCATTCTCAACCCTGCATACGACAGTGCAGACATCGTCATGGCAACACAGAGCGATGAATGGCTGGACATGGCTGACTTACAGGTTTCCAATGGCAACAACAAGGAAAAGGCAGCAGTAGTCCGAGCTCTCAACTCAAGATTAGGAAGGAATGATTGGCTAGTAGGTTCTTCGCTGTCATTGGCCGATATTGTCATGTGGTCTGCCCTCAACCAATCAGGACAGACTGCTGATGTGCCAAACAATGTGAAGAAATGGGTGAAGGCTTGTAATGATGCTTCCGTGTTTAAACAGGCTCTAAGTGCTCTTGGCTGAACATGTTTGAATAAAATCTGGTTCTGTGATACAAGATTTGCTCAGCTGCTCCTTCTGTCTTCTGTGGTGTGTGTTGCTACTAATTTATTCATCATAAATCTTTTACTCCCAAAAACAATGGCAATAACTTTACTTGAATTCATGTCTGCGAAATTTTTAATTTTATTTAAGTCAGAATTATTGTATGACCTACTGAAAGACGTTTATGCTAAGAAAAAAATATTATGTTAGATATTTATTATGCTGTATATATAAAGAATGACATACATTGAAGTTTTGAAATTTTTAACGAAAGATATTTCTTCAAAACATTATTTAGCTTGAAAAAGTTGGTGTTGCCCAAAAAAGAAGAAAATATTTGGATGAGTTGTCAGCTAAAGTATTCTCTTCCATGTGTATGACACAGATTATCATTAAAGATTTAAGAAGGAGCACTCAATAACATGCATTAGTTTCTTAAATGACTTTTTCATAGCAGTCACAAAAGATCATCTTGATGTGAAGGGCGGTGGGTTAGCCTAGTGTTTAAAGTGTTCGCTAGTCACGCCAAAGACACAGGTTCTATTCCCCACATGGGTACAATGTGTGAAGCCCATTTGGGTGTCCCCCGCAGTGCTATTGCTGAAATATTGCTAAAGGCAGCATAAAAACAAACTCACTCACTCTTGATGTGAACTGTTGTTCTACCTTTTGACTTTAGTGTTTGTTGTATCCATGGTTACCTGAAGACACAAACCAATCACATTCATGAACTTAGAACCCTGGAATATGGTACATTTACATAGACTCCTATTTTCAACTTATTTTCTCCCTACTAACAAGTCTGTTTCTCTAGCGTTGCCCAGATACCATTTAAATGAACCTTATTTGGAGAGATCTATTTTCCCGTTCTCCATTTCGTTGAGCAAAACTTGCATCTACAGCTGATCCAGTAACAATATGAATGGTGCTCTCAGTAATAGGGAAATGTTTTAGACAGAACTGATTTTATCTGGTTCATGTAAGACTAGACTTTTGGACAAAACCGTGAAAAGAATATCTGATACAAGATAAAGACAAATTCAGGAAAACTTGGCGGCCCTCACATTAACTTCCATAGACTATTGTAAATAGTGCAATAAACCATTGAAACAATTTACTAGTTTTCATCATTTGTAAACTGTATGGTAACAGTTGTGTATGATCTGGACTGATGATGTTTCACCATAGTTACTGTGTGAGCAGGAGCGGGGGGTAGCAGAGTGGATAAAGCATCTGAACATCACGTGGGAGACCCGGGTTTGATTCCCCGCATGGGTACAATGTGTGATGTGTGAAGCCCATTTCTGGTGTCTCCAGGGTTTGGCTGGAATGTTGCTAAAAGCGGGGTGAAACTAAACGTTCTCACTTATAACTCACACCTGTTATTGTATGTTATTATTATTATTAATTATTTTGCATACACCTTGAGATATGTCGGACACGGAGCTGATGAAAAGGCTTGCAGTCCACAAATCATTGAACTAATTTAGAGTGTTTCAACTGGCAAACAAGGATAAGTAGGATCGGCGCAGAGAACGTGTGTACGAAAAGTAGGCGGTGCATTGCAATGAGAAAATCCATTTGATTTGTGAAAGGTAGAGCAGATGTAGGCTAGTGCACGTGCATTGCATGATGATGAAATTGATTCTGTGCGTAGCTGCACACGTCTTGCTCATAAGACTCATGTCGCTGTAGCAAGTCGAACAACCTGGGGCCCCTTCGCTAGCAATGGCAAGAGCCAGTCGGCAGCACTCATACATGCTAATACGGGTCAATTGTCAGGTCGGTGCTCAACTTATCCTTGTTTGCCAGTATGTGAATACATTTAAGAATAGAATAAGAAGCATTTATCCATGATAAGCTTTGGTCAGGAATATATCGGCTGTGTCACTGCAACCTGTAAATACTGTGTCTTGACCAGGCAAGCCAGCAATCGGCATACCACAGAAAATGACAATAAGATCACTAATAGGTGAGTCACAGTTGCGGTCGTTGAGAATGACAACTAGTGATTGACCTGTTCAAGGAAGGTTCAACACAGTCTGTAATATGGAATACGATTGGCACTATTACCAATCAACATTGTGGCTTAGGGATTAATTTATGGTGTGTGTGTGGTGTGCGTCTTGTGAGCGATATGATTTTAAGGGGGTCACCAGTTTTGTTCTGGGGAGCTAGGGGGTCAGCTCAGCAATTTTGTACATAAAAAAAATGTTTAAAATTATACTTGAAATTATGGGAACAGGGGTCACTGTGTACACTTATTTAGTACATAAATTTTAGGGGAGTCATTCACATTGTACATGTTTCTCCATAACAATCATCATCACCCCCTTGCCATAAATTATGAACGGTCCCTTAGCATCAAATTACAGGAAACAAACAAATCAAAGTTAGCCTGCAAGACATATTCTGTTGCTAGATACTGATACAGGTGTTGAGGTCACTTCCTAAATATGGTAGTGAATGAATGCAAGGGGTTCATTGTATACAACACAAGATATATACAATATATACGTAGAAATTCCAGGACTTGGTGATCTATTCTTCTCCACAATACACAAGGATGTCTTGTGAACACAGGCAGCAAACTGAGAAGGATTTCTCCATGGGATAACTCCCCACCCTGCTCAGTAACTAAAACAACAGTGACATTAAGGGAACCACAGGGGATCACTAATACACACGTTTCACAGCAAGGCTGACACTGATACCCACCTTCTGAGTGACATTAAGGGAACCACAGGGGATCACTAATACACACGTTTCACAGCAAGGCTGACACTGATACCCACCTTCTGAGTGACATTATGGGTACCACAGGGGATCACTAATACACATGTTTCACAGCAAGGCTGACACTGATACCCACCTTCTGAGTGACATTAAGGGTACCACAGGGGATCACTAATACACATGTTTCACAGCAAGGCTGACACTGATACCCACCTTCTGAGTGACATTATGGGTACCACAGGGGATCACTAATCCACATGTTTCACAGCAAGGCTGACACTGATACCCCACCTTCTGAGTGACATTAAAAGGGTACCACAGGAATCACTAATACACACGTTTCACAGCAAGGCTGACACTGATACCCACCTTCTGAGTGACATTAAAGGGTTACCACTGGGGATCACTAATGCACATGTTTCACAACAAGGCTGACACTGATATCCACCTTCTGAGTGACATTAAGGGTACCACAGGGAATCACTAATGCACATGTTTCACAGCAAGGCTGACACTGAACCCACCTTCTGAGTGACATTAGATTAAGGGTACCACAGGGGATCACTAATGCACATGTTTCACAGCAAGGCTGACACTGATACCCACCTTCTGAGTGACATTGAAGAGGGTACCACAGGGGATCACTAATACACATGTTTACAGCAAGGCTGACACTGATATCCTCCACCTGAGTGACATTAAGGGTACCACAGGGGATCACTAATACACATGTTTCACAGCAAGGCTGACACTGATATCCTCCACCTGAGTGACATTAAGGGAACCACAGGGGATCACTAATACACATGTTTCACAGCAAGGCTGACACTGATACCCACCTTCTGAGTGACATTATGGGTACCACGGGGGATCACTAATACACATGTTTCACAGCAAGGCTGACACTGATACCCACCTTCTGAGTGACATTAAAAGGGTACCACAGGGATCACTAATACACATGTTTCACAGCAAGGCTGACACTGATACCCACCTTCTGAGTGACATTAAGGGTACCACAGGGGATCACTAATGCACATGTTTCACAGCAAGGCTGACACTGATATCCACCTTCTGAGTGACATTAAGGGTACCACAGGGGATCACTAATACACATGTTTCACAGCAAGGCTGACACTGATACCCACCTTCTGAGTGACATTAAGGGTACCACAGGGGATCACTAATACACACGTTTCACAGCAAGGCTGACACTGATACCCACCTTCGATATTGACATTAAAAGGGTACCACCGGGGAATCACTAATACACCGTTTCACAGCAAGGCTGACACTGATATCCACCTTCTGAGTGACATTAAAAGGTGCCACAAGGGGATCACTAATACCACACGTTTCACAGCAAGGCTGACACTGATACCCACCTTCTGAGTGACATTAAAGGGTACCACAGGGGATCACTAATACACATGTTTCTACAGCAAGGCTGACACTGATATCCACCTTCTGAGTGACATTAAGGGGAACCACAGGGGATCACTAATGCACATGTTTCCAGCAAGGCTGACACTGATACCCACCTTCTGGTGACATTAAAGGGTACCACAGGGGATCACTAATGCACATGTTTCACAGCAAGGCTGACACTGATACCCACCTTCTGAGTGACATTAAAGGGTACCACAGGGGATCACTAATGCACATGTTTTCACAGCAAGGCTGACACTGATACCCACCTTCTGAGTGACATTAAAGGGTACCACAGGGGATCACTAATGCACGCGTTTCACAGCAAGGCTGACACTGATACCCACCTTCTGAGGTGACATTAAAGGGTACCACAGGGGATCACTAATGCACCGTTTCACAGCAAGGCTGACACTGATACCCACCTTCTGAGTGACATTAAAGGGTACCACAGGGGATCACTAATGCACATGTTTCACAGCAAGGCTGACACTGATACCCACCTTCTGGTGACATTAAAGGGTACCACAGGGGATCACTAATGCACATGTTTCACAGCAAGGCTGACACTGATATCCACCTTCTGAGTGACATTAAAGGGTACCACAGGGGATCACTAATGCACATGTTTCACAGCAAGGCTGACACTGATACCACCTTCTGAGTGACATTAAAGGGTACCACAGGGGATCACTAATGCACATGTTTCACAGCAAGGCTGACACTGATATCCACCTTCTGAGTGACATTAAAGGGTACCACAGGGGATCACTAATGCACATATTTCACAGCAAGGCTGACACTGATACCCACCTTCTGAGTGACATTAAGGGTACCACAGGGAATCACTAATGCACATGTTTCACAGCAAGGCTGACACTGATATCCACCTTCTGAGTGACATTAAGGGTACCACAGGGGATCACTAATGCACATGTTTCACAGCAAGGCTGACACTGATACCCACCTTCTGAGTGACATTAAGGGTACCACAGGGGATCACTAATGCACATGTTTCACAGCAAGGCTGACACTGATATCCACCTTCTGAGTGACATTAAGGGTACCACAGGGGATCACTAATGCACATGTTTCACAGCAAGGCTGACACTGATACCCACCTTCTGAGTGACATTAAGGGTACCACAGGGAATCACTAATGCACATGTTTCACAGCAAGGCTGACACTGATACCCACCTTCTGAGTGACATTAAGGGTACCACAGGGGATCACTAATGCACATGTTTCAGCAAGGCTGACACTGATACCCACCTTCTGGTGACATTAAGGGTACCACAGGGAATCACTAATACACACGTTTCACAGCAAGGCTGACACTGATATCCACCTTCTGAGTGACATTAAGGGTACCACAGGGGATCACTAATGCACATGTTTCACAGCAAGGCTGACACTGATACCCACCTTCTGAGTGACATTAAGGGTACCACAGGGGATCACTAATGCACATGTTTCACAGCAAGGCTGACACTGATATCCACCTTCTGAGGACAGTGATGTGGCAAGTGGTCGAAAACACAGCTCTGCAGAGTTTGGTCCCTTAGATGTGCACGGATTTGCTGAATATGGGTTCAAATTCTAGATCTGGCCTGATTGTGATCCCTATTTTTTCCAGTAATCATGACAATTGGAGATCTACAACTATGGCAAACAAACTCTCACTTGTCTCATACAAAGGGTCGGGCCTCCTCAAATAAAAAACACCCCATTGAATAACAATATGGAACAGATGATATGCAGTACTTTATTCAGACCATATACATAATCAAGCCAACACACAAGTACAAAAATCATCATATATATACTTTCAAGGAGAGAATTTATGGATGTCAACTTCATCAGGTGAAGTAGTAAGAATATACTCCGAAATGTGTTTCTCATGATAATTTGACATCCATGAATTCTCACCTTTAATGCGTATCAGTTATAAATGCTGTTGAAAGACTATATATATATATACTGTTTCGCAATGCTGAACAAACTACAAAAGTAAAGTTTAATAAAAAGCAGTGTAAAACATCAAAAACAAATACAATCATAAATCATATTGCATCAGTCAAAAAGCAGCATGTTATTTTGAGTGCTCATACATGAGGCAAGCATATTAGAAGTGTTTGTAATAAGCACCTGCACAAAGGCTGTGGCAGGTAGATCTCATATCAGGCCTGTATTTGAATTTTTTTTATAGTGAGTTTAGTTTTAGGCCGCTTTTTGGCAATATTCCAGCAATATCACGGCAGGGGACACCACAAATGGGCTTCGTGCATTGTACCCATGTTGGGAATCAAACCCGGGTCTTCAGCGTGATGAGAGAATGCCTCAACCACTAGGCTACCCCACTGCCCCTCAAATTTTTATAGGTCCTCGTGGCCTACAGTAAATTTATTTGTTACATTAAACTGAAGTTGTTGTTTTTTTATGAGTCTGAAGAGTTTAGTCCAGGCCTGAAGCTTCTTAGTCTTTGGGTCCTGATGGCAGTCTGCCAGTTTTCTATAGTTCAAACACTGTATACATACAGGGGCGGTGGGGTAGCCTAGTGGTTAAAGCGTTGGCTCGTCATGCCAAAGAGACCCGGGTTCGAATCCCCACATGGGTACAATGTGTGAAGCCCATTTCTGGTGTCCCCCGACGTGATGTTGCCGGAATATTGCTGAAAGCGGCGTAAAACCAAACTCAGTCAGTCAGTATACATACAGTTGCACCTCCACACAAATAGTTATTCAATCAGGATCCATTTGTAGACAGTATTATGATGCAGACATTGCTATCCTATACGTAGAAGATAACATATCCACCATGAGATCAGGGAAAGAAGAACGGATAAAATACTTCAGTAATTCAGATACTACTGTCTTTGAATGTCACGTTTGCATACTAGTCTTGAACTATAGCCATTTCCATACAGCACTAGTTTTTGTGACAACAGGTGTGCAAACAAATTCTGAAGCAAATTTTATACATATCTAAATGGATGGGAGGAAGAACCCTTTCTGTCATAGTGTTGGGGGAATACTGTACATTGATGGCCATCCACCACTCACTAAATAATATCTTCATAAATCTGCATAAGGTGAAATTAAGCATGGGTAGTAGATAAAATATGATACCCTGTGCTCAAAGATGATTAAATGCATGGAATGTGACCTAAAAGGGAACATTAGCAGAAATTATGCAACATAAAAGCCTTGATATGTTTATAATCAGACAGATTGTGGTATGTGAAAATAGATCACCTATACCATGTTAAATAATTCCATCCAGTAACTGTCCCGTAACTGTTCTATTGTCATTTGAAACCTCTGTTCTCCACACTATACTACATGGCTCTGGTAACAAGTTGACGTTCAGGAATTTATCTATATCTTCACATGAGTCATTTTGTGAGTTTGTATTTGAAAACATCCCATTCAAATTTTGAAAACAGAAGAAAATCTTTCCATTTCTAACTTTATATTTAGTTCCCCTCAATTGACAGACAAATATATTTTGGACAATCCTTTCACTAAAAAAAAAATCACTAGCCTACTTTGTTGTTGGACCAAAACAAATGTTTGGCTACTCCCGAAGAAAGAATTTCATATGTTAGAGCACTGATACACTGATACAGTAATACTGAAAGTAGTTATCAAAGATGACTTGTCACCTCAAGGATGTCAATAGTCAGCTCTGTATACTTGTTGGGTTCTTCTAGTTGCAATGCTGGCTTCATCAGTGAAAGACAAGGGCATATTGTGTCTGTTACATGTGTTTGTTACCAATAGCTACAGGAATGTGACATAATCCTACTTCTTGAAGCAGCGGAACACATTCATTGGTTGCATGTACTATGTATTGACATTGTGTTTTCCTAGAACTACGTACCGAAACTTGTACAGCTTAAAACAACAAATTTTACGGTTCAGTGCATAGCTAATCCTTTGCCTGCTGCTAACCACCTTGAATCAAAATGTACTACTACCCAAGATTTGACAAGTGAAATTGTTTGTCATTACCAATAACAGACAAAAAAAATGGTTCATCTCACGAAACATATTCACATATTTCTTTGACTACTGATAATGCTATCCATGTCTTAGGAGACCGACGTAACAAGCAATGAAAAGCAAAGTTGTATTTTGGCAGCTTGGTATATTCGTTGCATAGTTTTGCCACTAAAACGGAAGTACCCTGTTCCAGTTCGCCATAGAGTCACACAATGCTTCGCTCACGAGCTGAAGTTAAAATGACCATCCCACTATGTCACATGGCGCCCATTCCATGAAATGATGTTGGTGTTCAGATGATCGTAACTCCCAACTACAACGCTGACTCAGGACAATTGTAGCTGTCTCATCTCAACACGACCCTGAACAGTATCTTAGGACTTCCTTAGGTCCAAGAAGTAGTCTTGGGAAGCTTAAATGATATCATTTTAGTTTTGAGGTAATTGTGGATGCACAGATATCTCACAGGTTCAAATTTAAAAAAAAACAACCTGACAACTTGTTTGAACAGTTATGTTACCTGGCCTCATTGTGGGAGTTTTCTCATTCTGTAAACACACATTTACATAACCTCTGTGCACCGACGGAGATCCCTACCTACGTAGATCATTACACATCACTAATGATACAGGAGAGCCTTTCTAACAGACTCAGTTGTCTTTGAGATGCAAATCATATACATTGTAACACAATTTCTTTCAGCAATCAGGCAGTGAGTTAAAGATTTCCATTGTTCAACATATACAAGGCAACAAATATCAAATTTTGGAATGTTGTTTCCCATAACAAATTAGAAGATACCTAAAACTGCTAAAATCAGATTACATTCTCTAATTTCAACCATTGATAGAACTTCTAAGGCTGTAACAGATGTATAAGATTGTTCGAGTTACAGTATTTCTGAGCATAAGATCACAGCATTCATATATACAATCAACAGTGGAAAATAATATCAGCGAAGACCTAATCACTTGAAGCACAAAGACAAGCTTTGAGAATTATGCAGGTCAAGTAGATAGCAATCTGTTTACGTGATTCATAAGGTAAATTTCACCAACAACTTGTCAATATCAATATTTTAGAGGGATGTAATAAGGAATGTAGCATGTTGGTTTCACCACTTGATTTTCAGGCCTTGAAGCAAGTCAACAGCCAGGCCTGATATGATGAGAACCTGCAAGACAGTAAACAGACAACACACTTACTATTGCTTACTGGTCAAGAGAGAGAGAGATCGAGAGAGATCAAGAGAGAGAGAGATCAAGAGAGAGAGATCGAGAGAGAGAGATCAAGAGAGAGAGAAAGATCGAGAGAGAAAGATCGAGAGAGATCAAGAGAGAGAGAATGCATATGTGTCTGTGTGTAGCTTTTGAGAAGAGGTAGTAACTATGCCAACTTAATCATGGCTGCCACAGAGAAGGTTGAAATAGTGGTTATTTTGTGTCCTGCATATATTTCACAACTTACTTTTGACTTTTTATCATATTCGAATGCAGCTCCCTTCCCATTGACTGTGACGGAGTCAGGGCTGGCTGAAACACCCATCACTGTGACCTCACTGAGGGACATCTCCGCACCTTTCTTGTAGTTGGAGGCCAACACTTTGTTACTCAGGGTGTTCTGTCCAATGAAATACACTTCTTAGCAGGGGTCTGCTTTTACAGTGAGTGTGGTTTTACGTAGCTTTTAGCAGTATTCCAGCAATATCATGTCAGGGGACACCAAAAAGGGCTTCACACTATTCACTATTTTCAAGGAAAAGGTGTTTTCAGGGACTATTATTCCTAAAGAAGATCAAGTGGAGTACGCATGTACTGCAGCAAGGCACACTTGGGGTACTACTCAACACTACACAGATTACATTTTTTTAGATGTTCTCACAAATAGGAGATGTTCATTTAATTGAAAATGCTATTTAAACACAATCTGAAGCAAACTTTCTGTCCTGCTTTTGAAGCTGGTGTTTGATGCCATTGAGATTCAAGTGCTGCTCATGATAATGATTGGACATGGATAAATGCCATTTTTAAATATGTGCAAACAGACTTTGATATAAACTATAGACTGTACTGAGTCTTTGCTATACACTCAAACTGTACTGAGATTTTGTTATACACCCGGACTGTACTGGCACTTTCATATACACTCAAACTGTACTGGTACTTTGATATACTCACAGAATGCTACATGGCCTGATATATACTCACAGAATGCTATATGGCCTGATATATACTAACAGAATGCTACATGGCCTGATATATACTCACAGAATGCTACATGGCCTGATATATACTCACAGAATGCTATATGGCCTGATATATACTAACAGAATGCTATATGGCCTGATATATACTAACAGAATGCTATATGGCCTGATATATACTCACAGAATGCTACATGGCCTGATATATACTAACAGAATGCTATATGGCCTGATATATACTAACAGAATGCTATATGGCCTGATATATACTAACAGAATGCTACATGGCCTGATATATACTCACAGAATACTACATGGCCTGATATATACTCACAGAATGCTACATGGCCTGATATATACTCACAGAATGCACTGAGAAGGACACCAGACTGTACAGATTGTTTTCAACTGTGTCTGTTGGAGAGAAAAATCAAGATATTGATGATAATAATAACACAGGAAGAAGAGGCAATACTGGTCCAAATGAATCACATTCTGTTTGGCAACTTTGATGAAGTTTGATCTCACCTATACTATCACCATCATCCCAGAAGACTTCACCAGATGCTGTACCATTGTTGTCAAGGGCAACTAACAGAGCAAACATCTCTCCACGCCTGCAAGAACCATGTAATATTTTATGTCTATAATACCAAAAACAAAAATCCATCATAGGCTTGTGAGTGAGTGAGTGAGTGATGTTTTATGCCACTTTTAGGAATTTTCCACCAACAGGGTGTACCAGAAATAACTACCCCACCGCCCCTCATAGGCTTGTGCCCAAATGGTAATACCAAACACTTTTCACCAAGAATATGTCTAATATCAGTCTGAGTCAGAATTTATGATGGGAATTCATCAAATAGCGAGATGAACTCCACCATTTTGTTAGCTGTCTCTTTCTAGATATGATAATAAATGATAATTTTTCTATCACACTGGAGTGAGTTGAGTTTTATGCCCCACTCAGCAGGTTATTGAATGGTCATCTTCCAGTAGCTACACCCACATGGGTTGCTGAAGACCAATTCTAACCAGATCATCAGAGGTCGTTGGAAATTAAAACAAAACCTGTTTTTGCTGCACATGTGTTGCAACAGTGATTAAGGACAACATAGCCAATACTTCCCAAACAACTACAGTTATAAGTGAATGGTAAATGTGGGTGACCTCATTCTGAGGTTCCTAAATATAGATCTGAACAAAGTGTAAATCTTTGCATGGAAATACCAGTGATGTGAAAATGTGCTTTGAGCATAGTAGGCAAATTGGTGTATGATAAACAGATACAACGGTAAGACTAGAAAGTTGTATTGGGTTTAACTCAAGTATACATACTTCAACTGATGTAATTCTATGTCAAACTGTGGGAGTTGAGTTACAACCATGTTAGCACTTGTTCAACTTAGCACTACAACTGATGCATGTCTTTGTTAAACCTTGTAACACCTACCTTAGCACTACAACTGATGCATGTCTTTGTTAAACCTTGTTACAACCACCACAGCAGTACAACTGATTCATGACCTTGTTAAACCTTGTTACAATTACCTTAGCACTACAACTGATGCATGACATTGTTAAACCTTGTAACACCTACCTTAGCACTACAACTGATGCATGACATTGTTAAACCTTGTAACACCTACCTTTGCACTACAACTGATGCATAACCTTGTTAAACCTTGTTACAACTACCTTAGCACTACAACTGATTCATGACCTTGTTAAACCTTATTACAACTACCTTAGTACTACAACTGATGCATGACATTGTTAAACCTTGTTACAACTACCTTAGCACTACAACTGATGCACGTCTTTGTTAAACCTTGTTACAACCACCTTAGCACTACAACTGATGCATGACATTGTTAAACCTTGTAACACCTACCTTAGCACTACAACTGATGCATGACATTGTTAAACCTTGTTACAACTACCTTAGCACTACAACTGAGCCACGTCTTTGTTAAACCTTGTTACAACTACCTTAGCACTACAACTGATGCATGACCTTGTTAAACCTTGTAACAACTACCTTAGCACTACAACTGATGCATGACCTTGTTAAACCTTGTTACAACCACCTCAGCACTACAACTGATACATGCCATGGAAGTTACAAATACCCTCGAGTCAAAATCACTAGGAGGACCATGGCTCTGGACCCTGTTCCACAAACCGATCATAGCGCTAAGACTGTTGTAAGCCTGTGTTAAGTATGGGAGTTAAGATCGTCTCAGCTCTACGACCGCTTTGTCAAACAGGGCCTGCCTAGATTTTCCAAGCTCTCTTAGCCCTAAGATAGTCGTAAGTGCCATTCATTAACGTTAACTTACGACTATCTTAGCGCTAAGAGAGCTTCGAAAATCTAGGCCCAGGACCCTGGTCATGGCCAGCTAGTTGAGTAACACAGGTCAGGACACACACTAGCATCAGTGACTTACATCTGGTTGGTGGTGACTGCAGCAGGCTTGGTGGGGATCACGGACCCTCCTCGTATGTGTAGGTTGATCTTGTCAATAGGGGCGTCCAGCTGGACATACTGACCAACAGTGGACACTCTGGACCTGTTGTAGTAGTCATACCATACATCACCTGGAATGTAGGCCTTCACTGTCACTGCTCCCTGCAATCATCACAGATGTCATAGTCATTCTTCCACTTGTGACCAGACAGTCTTGGTAAACTTAGGCTCAGCATTATTTGTTACATTGCTATACTGAGTCTAACAAACCCTAGTAAAAGGTCGGATCAGCTAACCTTTTGAACTGACTAATGAGAACACAGCTTACCAAATCATGAAAGCTAACATTCGCACATACCGTTTGAACTTTTACCTCGAAAATGTTTGCCCTCGAACTATTCTGAATGTTATTTTCCGCACTTCCGAGTGATACACATTGAGGACGCCATTTTTCATAACAATGAGTAAACAGTCGCTGAAAATAGTGTTTTTGTCAATATTCCAGGATGTCATCTTTTGGAAATATAAGCTAATAGTAACCATGTCATCAGAAACCCCTAAGCATATATATTGCAGGTAAAAAATGTATGTTTTATGCAGATTTTTGTTTGTTGAGAGATCAGTGTCAGTGACCGGGTAAGAGAAAATCAAAATACATTTTGTAAGTCCCTCCGAACCCTAAATAGTAGCCGTCTGTAAATAATCGAGTCTGGACCAGACAATCCAGTGATCAACAGCATGAGCAACAATCTACACAATTGGGATACAATGACATGTGTAAACCAAGTCAGAGAGCCTGACCACCCAATTCCGTTAGACACCTCTTAGCATGGGTTGCTGAAGACCAATTCTATCCCGGATCTTCACGGGTAGGCTGAAGTGAGACACAGCATGCTTCTAACAAACCATAAGAAAATCTAGGAATACAGGTATAATAATAAAATTCCTACAGCCCAAGTCTTATTAACCCTGGAAGTGAAGTATGACTACCCACCATGGTGAGACGTTTGACAACTCTCCTGCTAAGAAGAGAATGAGGTAACAATGTACCCACCTAGTGAGATTGGACTGTTTGAGCAAACACTCAAACATTGGCTATATTGGCATGTTTGACCACCCAGCCTCTCAAACATGGTTATATTGGTATGTTTGACCACCCAGCCACTCAAACATCGGTTATATTGGTATGTTTGACCACCCAGCCACTCAAACATCGGTTATATTGGTATGTTTGACCACCCAGCCACTCAAACATTGGTTATATTGGTATGTTTGACAACCCAAATGGGGAGTGGAATATGTTTGACTGTCCAACATGAGGGACATGAAAATTTGAAAACATACGAAAATGTACTAAGGGACTGTTTGACAACTCACCTGCTGAAATGAGAATATTTGACTGCTCACATTTGAGATAAACAAGTCTGACTATCAACCTAACAAAATGAATTTGTTTGACCAGCCACCTAGTAAGAAAAGCATGTTTGACCACCCAGCTGGTGAGATGAATATGTTTGACCACCCAGTCCACCTAGTGAGATAAGCATGTTTGACCACCCACCTGGTAAGATGAATATGTTTGACTACCCATCTGATGGGATGAATATGTTTGACTTCTCATCTGATAGTAACAATATGTTTGAACACGCGCCTGGTGAGATTAATATGTTTGACTACCCACCTGGTGGGAACAATATGTTTGACTACCCATCTTATGGGAACAATATGTTTGACTACCCATCTGGTTGGAACAATATAACAATACCCACCTGTTCCAACACTGGTGAGATGAGTAGGGCTGACCCCCACAGGAACTGTCTGTCTACAGCCTCAGCCCCAGCCTCAGGGTACCTGCAATAGTCCAGTCAGAGGCTCTTACATGCTATATACACTTGTCTCTCTCCAACCAAGACTTATCAGAACTTGACCTGAAAGACCTCAATAGACCTCAATAGACCATCTTTGCAATAGAAACAATGACCTTTCATGGCTTTCCTTATAAGCTCATAAAGTCTTACATGCTTCTACAAAACATTTTAAAGTTGAAAAGTTTACAATGCATCTTGCATGTACAAGATCAAATATCAAATCTATTTCAATGGATTATTTAATGTTTTCCTGAAAGACAGTATGATGAGGTAGTGGTACTGACTGGAAGAACAATGGGCGGGCCACAGGGCCCCCAGTTGGCGTGGCTACGGTAGAGGAGGGTGTAGAGGAAGGGCAGCAGGCGGTACCTGGTCTCCAACACCGACCTCATGATGTCCTGAGTGCGGGAGTCAAACGATGCAGGATCCTGGTCCTATGGTAGAAAACATTGGCATGTCATGCTGAGATTGTGCACCCCCACACAGCTGTATGTGGTAGGAGAGTCCAGTGAAACCCAGTAGCACAAGCAGAGGTAAGGTGATGTCACACCTGGAAACTTTCAAACCCATAATCACACTTTTGGGATAAGAGGTGCAACACCCAATATATTGTGCCAACTTAAAGAGTGACAGCATCCATTTCCCTCATTTTTATGACACTGACACTGGCTACTCCACATCTCCATAATTTCATTGCTTGGAGCATCCTGCTTAAGAACGCTCAGGTGGACGCACCTAGCTGTAGTTCCTCCATACCTTTGGTATACCATCTTCCCACTGTTGTATACATTAACTAGGTGGTATACCATCTTCCCTCTGTTGTATACATTAACTAGGTGGTATACCATCTTCCCACTATTGTATACATTAACTAGGTGGTATACCATCTTCCCACTGTTGTGTACATTAACTAAATGGTATACCATCTTCCCACTGTTGTGTACATTAACTAGGTGGCATACCATCTTCCCACTGTTGTGTACATTAACTAGGTGGTATACCATCTTCCCTCTGTTGTGTACATTAACTAGGTGGTATACCATCTTCCCACTGTCCTGTACATTAACTAAATGGTATACCATCTTCCCACTGTTGTGTACATTAACTAGGTGGCATACCATCTTCCCACTGTTGTGTACATTAACTAGGTGGTATACCATCTTCCCACTGTTGTGTACATTAACTAGGTGGTGTACCATCTTCCCTCTGTTGTGTACATTAACTAGGTGGTATACCATCTTCCCACTGTTGTGTACATTAACTAGGTGGTGTACCATCTTCCCACTGTTGTGTACATTAACTAGGTGGTATACCATCTTCCCACTGTTGTGTACATTAACCAGGGTACATACCATCTTAACTGTTGTGTACATTAACTAGGTGGTATACCATCTTCCCACTGTTGTGTACATTAACTAGGTGGCATACCATCTTCCCACTGTTGTGTACATTAACTAGGTGGTGTACCATCTTCCCACTGTTGTGTACATTAACTAGGTGGTGTACCATCTTCCCACTGTTGTGTACATTAACTAGGTGGTATACCATCTTCCCATCATTAACCAGGTGGTATACCATCTTCCCTTGTTGTGTACATTAACTAGGTGGTATACCATCTTCCCACTGTTGTGTACATTAACCAGGTGGTGAACCATCTTCCCACTGTTGTGTACATTAACTAGGTGGTATACCATCTTCCCACTGTTGTGTACATTAACTAGGTGGTATACCATCTTCCCACTGTTGTGTACATTGACTAGGTGGTGTACCATCTTCCAACTGTCCTGTACATTAACTAGGTGGTATACCATCTTCCCTCTGTTGTGTACATTAACTAGGTGGTATACCATCTTCCCTCTGTTGTGTACATTAACTAAATGGTATACCATCTTCCCTCTGTTGTGTACATTAACTAGGTGGCTTACCATCTTCCCACTGTTGTGTACATTAACTAGGTGGTATACCATCTTCCCACTGTCCTGTACATCAACCAGATGGTATACCATCTTCCCACTGTCCTGTACATTAACTAGGTGGTATACCATCTTCCCTCTGTTGTGTACATTAACCAGGTGGTATACCATCTTCCCACTGTCCTGTACATTAACTAGGTGGTATACCATCTTCCCACTGTTGTGTACATTAACTAGGTGGTGTACCATCTTCCCGCTGTTGTGTACATTAACCAGGTGGTATACCATGTTCCCTCTGTTGTGTACATTAACTAGGTGGTATACCATCTTCCCTCTGTTGTGTACATTAACCAGGTGGTATACCATCTTCCCACTGTTGTGTACATTAACCAGGTGGTATACCATCTTTCCGCTGTTGTGTACATTAACTAGAGCCATATCATCTTCCCACTGTTGTGTACATTAATTAAATGGCATACCATCTTCCCACTGTTGTGTACATTAACTAGGTGGCATACCATCTTCCCGCTGTTGTGGTTCCGCATGAAGGGGTAGAAAGCTCCAACCTGCATCCACCGAGTACACAGCTCAGCAGTAGTGTCTTCACGGAAACCACAGATGTCAACGCCAACAAATGGGATTCCAAACATTTGGAAATTCAAAATACCTGAAACATTGTCAAAATTCTATGTATATTATCCAAATCCTTGTGAAAAGTTGGATTTATATTCTTCGGAGGAGAGGTGAGTGGTGTTTAATGTTGTGATCATGATTACTGCATGCATACAACAACTTGCATGTGTTTGTGGCTGCTTGTACTAGTCTAATATAAGGGTAATGCTATTTTTGAGGGCATTATCATTTGCAGAAGCCTGAGGTCTTCCATTAACTGCCCAATGAAGGAGGGCAGTTGAAAAGACCGTTGGCTTCTGCAAATGATAATGCCCTAAAAAATAGCATTACCGTTATTATTGCTAACATACATGGAATTTGTGTTGAAAAGAAAAAGGAAACAATGAAGGAATTTGACAGTAAGTTTACCCAAATCAACTTCTGACAGGGTTGACTGCCCGAATGCAATTACGTCATCGAACAATTCAAGTGACGTCACAACAGAAAGTGACGATATTCGACCTTGGCCTTTGACAAGACCATAGCCTGCAACATGTCAAACTATGTCAGTGTTCGGTTTTGGTCCAACAACAACGTTAATAGTGCAACTGTTAAGGTTAGCACCAGCAAGAAAGCCAATATAACCACTATTTAAAGCGGGAATTCGGGTTGCTTTGACTTGTTTGATCCAGAATATCTGCCAGTCAAAAGCCAATTAATGTTGAATGAACCGTAAGCCAACGCACCCATTATGATGTCACTTGACAACAGAACTGATGTGGCCTGTCGTTAAGGTTGAGCGGTCCAATATCATTTGCAGCGGCCCGCAAATTTCTGATAAAGGGAGGGCCGTTTCATGATAATTCCATGTATTTTAGCTATAATATTGATTATTTTGAAGCTTTCTCAAATTTATGCTGCTTTGTTGACTAGAGTTGAACTGGATGAGTGGCGTTGAGATGATGTCAGGTGAATGGGGTGCACCATTGTACTTCTGTTCAAGGTTCTAGTACTAGTAACTGAGCAACCATATCTACCAAATGTTTTGTTGTCTGAACCAACCTGGCCTCATCTTATTCCCTTCATGCCAGTCTATAGTCACATAGCAAGAAGTACCAGCTATTATTGTTTTGTTTATGACCCAGCTGGGATCAAATTATTACATACTGTTCTAGGGGTAGACACGCTATCCCCCATACCACAGACATTGTTGCTCTGACATAGGGTTTAGTGTTATTATGGCATGTCAGTCTGATCTAAAAGAAAAGGTCAACTTTAACAGCTTTAGTGTAACTAAATACATTGAAATACCACAGATCATGATATGCTTGCATTTAGAGCGATCAGATCTGTAGATTCTTGTGGAGACAGACTCAGGCACAACTCTTGATGGGGTGATGATGATTTTAGGTTTGAATGGGGGTCACCCAGTTTGTTCTGGGGGGTAGGGGGATCATTTTTGACAGGACTTACTTTGTACATAAATTGGGGTGGTGGGGTGCATTCAAATTGTACATGCTTCTCCATAACAATCATCATCACCCCCTAGCCATAAATTATGAACGGTCCCTAAGTACAACAGCAGTCTCTGAAAACCACCTCAGATTGCTGGAGACTTAAGGACTTATCTGGAATCCCGGTAGGACTGCCAATTGTATAAATGTTAGGGGGCTTCAAAAGAAGGGGTGCATACTTCTACACCCCTTCTTCATGCTCCGGATGCAGGACTTACCTGGGATGGAGTAGTATAGGTCATCCCAACTAGAGAGGTTGTCTCCCAGCCAATGGGTGCCGTACACACCAGCGCTGGGGAATGTTGACCGAGACAACACAAAACTACGCTTGTTCAGTAACTTCTTCAACACACTGAAATAGGAAGCAATATATGCTTGCTATATATTGTATGCGTTATTTGTAGCTGTTTAATACCACACTCAGCAATATTCCAGCAGTATCACAAAGGTCAGTAAATAACGCCACACTCAGCAATATTCCAGCAATATCACAAAGGTCAGTAAATAACGCCACACTCAGCAATATTCCAGCAATATCACAAAGGTCAGTAAATAACGCCACACTCAGCAATATTCCAGCAATATCACAAAGGTCAGTAAATAACGCCACACTCAGCAATATTCCAGCAATATCACAAATGTCAGTAAATAACGCCACACTCAGCAATATTCCAGCAATATCACAAAGGTCAGTAAATAACGCCACACTCAGCAATATTCCAGCAATATCACAAAGGTCAGTAAATAACGCCACACTCAGCAATATTCCAGCAATATCACAAAGGTCAGTAAATAACGCCACACTCAGCAATATTCCAGCAATATCACAAAGGTCAGTAAATAACGCCACACTCAGCAATATTCCAGCAATATCACAAAGGTCAGTAAATAACGCCACACTCAGCAATATTCCAGCAATATCACAAAGGTCAGTAAATAATGCCACACTCAGCAATATTCCAGCAGTATCACAAAGGTCAGTAAATAATGCCACACTCAGCAATATTCCAGCAGTATCACAAAGGTCAGTAAATAACGCCACACTCAGCAATATTCCAGCAATATCACAAAGGTCAGTAAATAACGCCACACTCAGCAATATTCCAGCAATATCACAAAGGTCAGTAAATAACGCCACACTCAGCAATATTCCAGCAATATCACAAAGGTCAGTAAATAGCATTCACACTCAGCAATATTCCAGCAATATCACAAAGGTCAGTAAATAGCGCCCACACTCAGCAATATTCCAGCAGTATCACAAAGGTAAGTAAATAACGCCACACTCAGCAATATTCCAGCAATATCACAAAGGTCAGTAAATAGCGCCACACTCAGCAATATTCCAGCAGTATCACAAAGGTCAGTAAATAACGCCACACGGCAATATTCCAGTAGTATCACAAAGGTCAGTAAATAACGCCACACTCAGCATTATTCCAGCAGTATCACAAAGGTCAGTAAATAACGCCACACTCAGCAATATTCCAGCAATATCACAAAGGTCAGTAAATAACGCCACACTCAGCAATATTCCAGCAATATCACAAAGGTCAGTAAATAACGCCACACTCAGCAATATTCCAGCAATATCACAAAGGTCAGTAAATAGCGCCACACTCAGCAATATTCCAGCAATATCACAAAGGTCAGTAAATAGCATACACTCAGCAATATTCCAGCAGTATCACAAAGGTCAGTAAATAATGCCACACTCAGCAATATTCCAGCAGTATCACAAAGGTCAGTAAATAGCGCCACACTCAGCAATATTCCAGCAATATCACAAAGGTCAGTAAATAACGCCACACTCAGCAATATTCCAGCAATATCACAAAGGTCAGTAAATAACGCCACACTCAGCAATATTCCAGCAATATCACAAAGGTCAGTAAATAACGCCACACTCAGCAATATTCCAGCAATATCACAAAGGTCAGTAAATAACGCCACACTCCAGCAATATTCCAGCAGTATCACAAAGGTCAGTAAATAACGCCACACTCCTCAGCAATATTCCAGCAATATCACAAAGGTCAGTAAATAACGCCACACTCAGCAATATTCCAGCAGTATCACAAAGGTCAGTAAATAACGCCACACGGCAATATTCCAGCAGTATCACAAAGGTCAGTAAATAACGCCACACTCAGCATTATTCCAGCAGTATCACAAAGGTCAGTAAATAATGCCACACTCAGCAAAATTCCAGCAATATCACAAAGGTCAGTAAATAACGCCACACTCAGCAATATTCCAGCAGTATCACAAAGGTCAGTAAATAACACCTCACTCAGCAATATTCCAGCAGTATCACAAAGGTCAGTAAATAACGCCGGACTCGGCAATATTCCAGCTATATGGCGGCGGTCTGTAAATAATTGAGTCTGGACCAGATAATCCAGTGATCAACCGCATGAGCATCAATCTGAGCAATTGGGAATGGATGACATGTGTCAACCAAGTCAGCGAGCCTGACCACCTGTTCCCGTTAGTAGCCTCTTACGACAAGCATGGGTTACTGAAGGTTCATTCTAACCCGGACCTTAACGGGTAGTGTGGATCAGACAATGCAGTCATTGATATAATGGTGTCGAGGTACAATAACACACAGTGTTTGCCCTAGGCATAAAAATTTAGGAGTCATCATCAGAGGGAGTCTTGGACATGTTCTTCAGAGTCCACTTCAGTTTGGAACTTTCATCAAGACATCAACTGTGATTGTTTAATAACGACAAAAACAGGGTAATACAAGTCAGATATTTAATCAGCACTGGGCAGTTAACTGGCAAACATTTAGTTTCAGAAGTTAAGATTATCTGAACAAAGGGCCCAGTAGCATTGCGGCAACAATGATGCAAGCTTCTAAATTCACTGGGTATCTGAGATAATTTGTTCGTCAAATACGCAGGTTTTCTGAGTCATGGCAAACACTGGACACATGATCAAACATGTACCCAAGATCCTTGTAGTCACCTCTGATGACCAACATATTATGCTGGAGGCATTCAAAACTAGAATCCAGAATCCCAACAAGGTTTTCTCCATTTGACAGTTTGAAGAAGAATTCAACATGTAAAGCATGTACAAGAGGTTGTGTACAATGTAACTGGTCACTACATGTAAGCTACATCATAGCGGCATACAAAGCACCATTTAGAAAACGGTGAAATGCAACATATGTTATATTTGGGATTACACTTTGTCAGGTAATTACAGATTCTTGTACCTTTGTCAGGTAATAACTGATTCTTGTAACTTTGTCAGTTAATTACGGATTCTTGTACCTTTGTCAGGTAATTACAGATTCTTGTACCTTTGTCAGGTAATTACAGATTCTTGTACCTTTGTCAGGTAATTACAGATTCTTGTACCTTTGTCAGGTTGAGTCCAATCCAGGATTTGAACCCACACTCTCAGAGTCAGGCACCTAATCGCCAGCACACAAAGTCAGCTATCTAACCCACTCAGCCACTGCGCTAAATATGGCAAGTGAAAGCAGTGACTGATAGCATGAGTACCTGGGTGCAAACATCATCAGCAGGTCAGAAACCACCTAATCCTGCTTCAATGGTTTCTAGATACTAGAGACATATTCTGCTCAAAATCACCTGGGGAAAAACTATTGTGGCAGTATAGAGACTGAATTCTAAATACCTTTACCTCGGCCAAATTAAAATTTACTGGTCTGATGTAAATCGACCTGCCATTACAAGGTCAACTACTTTTGACTGTAGGGCGACTGTTTGTCTACCACTACACCCTTGCTCTCTATGTTTCTGTTCAGGAGGGGCGGTGGGGTAGCCTAGTGGTTAAAGCATTCAATTGTCACACCGAAGACCCATGTTCTATTCCCACATAGGCACAATATGTGAAGCCCATTTCTGGTGTCCCCCACCGTAATATTGCTGGAATATTGCTAAAAGTGGCGTAAAACTAAACTCACTCACTCCGTTCAGGATACAAATGGATGGATAGTGTCACATGTCTGAATCATGCCAATATGCAAGCAATTACTTCACTAGCGAGTGAGTGTGTCATCCTACAGGAAAGCATGTGAGCCATAACCCATCCCAACGATTGAAGCTGACCCTCACCTGCTGGTCACCTTCATCTCGCTGAGTCCGTACATGTTGTGCAGGTTGTAGTGGGTGGAGATGCTTTGTCTGGCGGATGGACACACAGTCGATGCCATCAGGCTCGACCCATCGATAGCTGTGGTGGGAACACAGAGGAAGTCAAGGAATATATCATGCACATGAAGCAAAACACAAATATTCACCTGGTAATGTTGAAGACAGACTGTTTAAACTATTCTACAGTGTCATTAAAGGACGACATTGTACTTGGATCATGTCTTTGTAAGTACTGTAACTGTCCGTTTGTGTGAGGTGAGGTGAAATTGGGTTTTACGTCGTGCTTGAGAATACTTTGCTCATATGACGACGTGCATGCGTGTGTATGTGTATGTGCGGCTGCTTGTACTAGCCCAGACTGAAGCTGGTTTTATAGTGCTAGCCCACTAAGATACCATTCTGCAGTGAAGCATGAATACCCCACTCAGACACATTATACTGACTCCCGAGCCGACCAGTCCTTGTACTCATTAATGCCGAGCGCCAGGCAGGGACCAACAAGTACCATATTTTAACGTCTTTTGGTATGACGCGGTCGGGGATTGAACCCACGACCTTCCGCTCTCCAGGTGGATGCTCTAACCACTACACCACGGAGGCGGTCTCTGTTTGTGTAGATACTATTGTTATGATCTATAAATGGAGTCAAAATATCACCCTAACATTAATGACAATGGGGTACTACATATTAATACTTGTGTTTATGCATATAACGTACCATGTCCCAAATTAAAGAACCATAGCATTTGACAAGGAAATGTTTTGCTGCCATAATATACTGATAACTATTTGTCCGAAAAATTCTATTTATTTGATTCCATTAACCCAGCAGTTAAGTTGTTATGGAAACATACAATATGATTCATATCCTAACACCACTGCATTTCGGAGTGTGTCACGTCCTTTATAGACACAAGGTCTTTATGAAGTCATCAGTGGTGGGGGAAGACTCACTGGGGGGCACAAAGGGGGGGTTGTCGAGGGAGTTGCTGGTGCAGCCTGTGATGGATCCAGTCACGAAGTTCGACGGCTCATTCATGTCCTGGAAGAAATGATTTCACATATTAAGCTCCTAAATTTATGTTTTTAATGGCACAGGTGGAAAACTAGATTCTTTCTAATGTTGTTCAGTATCATGAATCAGATCAGAATGACATTTCTCTATTATCGTAAGGTATGTGATTTGATTTTTTATGGAGCTGTTTGTTTGTGAAAAGATTTCATGCTAAAATCCTATTGGAAAGTTGAAAAAAATGGCAGTTGCACTGTATTTAGTATTCAGGTTTATGATAAAAATAATGTAAGGTATTAAGAAAAAAATGTCAGTGGCAAAATAAAATGATTGTGACATGGTGAATGTAGAGTGACATGACACACATTACAGCTATAGCACAGCCAATTCACTTCACAGTGATTACAGTTACATCACAGCTGTATGATGTTGGACCTGGACTAGATAAACCATCACACAGCAGTATTGTAAAAACGTTCCTATTAAAATGTCCAGTGGACTTTTTTATGCATTATATACATGTCTTAACATTTCAGTGAAAATGTGTGGGTAAATATCATGAGTTATTCCAAATATATCCCTGAGTTTGTCAGAAGCTTGTGAAGCAGTGAAAACTAAAAGATCTTAATCTCTGTAAGGCAGAGGTTCTACTGACCACCCAGAGACCGTCATAGGGAACCTGGTCATAGTACGCCTTTGCTTGTCGGAACCACCATTCCGAACTGTTGGGATGGAAGAAGTCCGGGAACACAGTCATACCTGGCCACACCTACAACACAAGGGATAGAGGACATGTTGAACACAGGTGTGGAGGACATGTAGAATACAGGTGTAGAGGACATGTAGAACACAGGTGGGGAGGACATGTAGAACACAGGTGGGGAGGACATGTAGAACACAGGTGTAGAGGACATGTAGAACACAGGTGTAGAGGACATGTAGAACACAGGTGTAGAGGACATGTAGAATACAGGTGTAGAGGACATGTAGAACACAGGTGTGGAGGACATGTAGAATACAGGTGTAGAGGACATGTAAAATACAGGTGTAGAGGGACATGTAGAATACAGGTGTGGAGGACATGTGTGGGGAGGACATGTAAAATACAGGTGTAGAGGACATGTAGAACACAGGTGTGGAGGACATGTAGAACACAGGTGTGGAGGACATGTAGAACACAGGTGTGGAGGACATGTAAAATACAGGTGTAGAGGACATGTAGAATACAGGTGTGGAGGACATGTAGAACACAGGTGTGGAGGACATGTAGAATACAGGTGTGGAGGACATGTAGAACACAGGTGTGGAGGACATGTAGAACACAGGTGTGGAGGATACAGGGGAGGAAGACACATAGCATACAGGTGTAGAGGACACGTAGAACACAGGTGTGGAGGACATGTAGAACACAGGTGTGGAGGGATCCAGGGGAGGAAGACACATAGCATACAGGTGTAGAGGACATGTAGAACACAGGTGTGGAGGATCCAGGGGAGGAAGACACGTAACATACAGGTGTAGAGGACATGTAGAACACAGGTGTGGAGGATACGGGGAGGAAGACACATAGCATACAGGTGTAGAGGGACATGTAGAAACACAGGTGTGGAGGACATGTAGAACACAGGTGTGGAGGATACAGGGGAGGAAGACACATAGCATACAGGTGTAGAGGACATGTAGAACACAGGTGTGGAGGATACGGGGAGGAAGACACATAGCATACAGGTGTAGAGGACATGTAGAACACAGGTGTAGAGGACATGTAGAACACAGGTGTGGAGGATACAGGGGAGGAAGACACATAACATACAGGTGTAGAGGACATGTAGAACACAGGTGTGGAGGATCCAGGGGAGGAAGACACATAGCATACAGGTGTAGAGGACATGTAGAACACAGGTGTAGACACATGGGATGGAGGACATGTAGAATGTATAAGGTATACACCATCTACTTAAAGTGGAGAACATGTATAGCACATGGAGTGTTGCCAATGTCCTAATCATAACCAAAAAGGGTCATGTAAATATATAAACCTTGACATGTATATATTTCATATTTTCAGTTTTAACATAACAATAACCTCAAACCATTCAGGTGAAGAAGATATTGGTGCACTGGCTGGCTGGTTGATAACTGTGTTCATGACACAATTCTTTAAATATTCAGAATTACCTTGCCAATGAGATTTGATCCATTGTCAGCTTTGATGAAAATATCATCCTCAATCCCTTCATCGTACGGGGGGTAGGTTCCTGGCTGCTGGGTCACAGAGATACCAGGATCCTGGCACACAAGGGGAGATCATGAGATCATGAGTGGATCCTCGCACAGTTAAGGGATGCAACTCCAGACTGATAAAGTTATGTATTAATATGATATATATTCTTTTCTTGCTAACAATTTCATTATGTAACAATTATGATATTGGAGGAACTTGCTGATATATCAAACTGGCTGATTTAACCCAAGCTTATTCTCTTATAGGAGGTGTGGTGAAAAGCAGTACAAACATATACAAATGTATGTAAAACATCATGTTGGTTGACGGACTTGCTCATTGTTTGACTTTCTCTAAAAGATTAAGGTTTAAACCTCTCTGTCTTTCATTGTAGCAAGTTAGGTACATCATATTATCCTGACAACTGGTGTGACCTACAGTTATTTATGCTGAAGGGGTCGTCGGTATGGGTACTACACATGTCTATCCAAGGTACCTTTCTGTATACAGAGACGTACCCTTGCCTAAATCAGAATACAGGACAAGTCTATTCCGCATTGTGGCTTTTTCTTGATTGCAACCGTCATACTGTAGATGCATTTGATTGTGTTACATGAGAAACGAGCAAACACAGTAATGAATATTTCGCGATGCACACTACCACTTGCAATCAGCTGAACGAGAAGAACTACAAATGGTTTCGGTTTTGGGTTGCAGAATATGGACTCGTCCACCGTTTAGGGAACATAGTATGTTTCTGTATTTTGACTTATGGACTCGTCCACCACTTGCAGAATATGGACTCATCCACCGTTTAGGGAACATAGTACGTTTCTGTATTTTGACTTATGGACTCGTCCACCACTCGCAGAATATGGACTCGTCCACTGTTTAGGGAACATAGTACGTTTCTGTATTTTGACTTCGTTTAGAGTACATTTCTGGATTCAGATATGTACCCAGGGTACATATCTGTAGTACCTGTGCTGACAGTGAACCTTTTAATGTTATGTATTTACCGGCAGTTGGGGAAGTTATGAACTTAAGAGTGAGTGAGTGAGCTTAGTTTTATGCCGCTTTTAGCAATAATCCAGCAATATCATGGCAGGGAATACTAGAAATGGGCTTCACACATTTTACCCATGTAGGGAATTGAACCCAGGTCTTCTGCATGACAAGCAACCGCTTTAACCACTAGGCTACCATATGAACTTAAGAAGGAAAACACACATTAATACATTCCTTAATACAAACATTTTAAATAACTTTTCAGACAAACTTTAATGTTTTAAAGGGATTTTCCAGTGAACCAAACAGTGATGAAACTTCATGATTGCAATATTCATTGCGCGGTCAATTTCTAATTATAGAATACCTGTATCCTGTATAAAGCCACAGAATGAACATGGGCAACAAACAACACATATCGCCTCAGTACAGCAGCTGCACATACTCACCACAATGATGACATATCGCCTCAGTACAGCAGCTGCACATACTCACCACAATGATGACATATCACCTCAGTATAGCAGCTGCACATACTCACCACAATGATGACATATCGCCTCAGTACAGCAGCTGCATGTACTCACCACAATGATGACATATCACCTCAGTACAGCAGCTGCACGTACTCACCACAATGATGACATATCACCTCAGTATAGCAGCTGCACATACTCACCACAATGATGACATATCGCCTCAGTATAGCAGCTGCACATACTCACCACAATGATGACATATCACCTCAGTATAGCAGCTGCACATACTCACCACAATGATGACATATCGCCTCAGTACAGCAGCTGCATGTTACTCACCACAATGATGACATATCGCCTCAGTACAGCAGCTGCACATACTCACCACAATGATGACATATCACCTCAGTATAGCAGCTGCACATACTCACCACAATGATGACATATCGCCTCAGTACAGCAGCTGCATGTACTCACCACAATGATGACATATCGCCTCAGTACAGCAGCTGCATGTACTCACCACAATGATGACATATCACCTCAGTACAGCAGCTGCATGTAATCACCACAAACATGACATATCACCTCAGTACAGCAGCTGCACATACGTACTCACCACAATGATGACATATCGCCTCAGTACAGCAGCTGCACGTACTACCACCACAATGATGACATATCACCTTCAGTATAGCAGCTGCACATACTCACCACAATGATGACATATCAGCCTCAGTACAGCAGCTGCGTGTACTCACCACAATGATGACATATCAGCCTCATTACAGCAGCTGCATGTACTCACCACAATGATGACATATCACCTCAGTACAGCAGCGGCTGCACGTAATCACCACAAACATGACATATCACCTCAGTACAGCAGCTGCACATACTCACCACAATGATGACATATCGCCTCAGTACAGCAGCTGCACGTACTCACCACAATGATGACATATCACCTCAGTATAGCAGCTGCACGTACTCACCACAATGATGACATATCACCTCAGTACAGCAGCTGCACATACTCACCACAATGATGACATATCACCTCAATTATAGCAGCTGCACATACTCACCACAATGATGACATATCGCCTCAGTACAGCAGCTGCATGTACTCACCACAATGATGACATATCGCCCAGTACAGCAGCTGCATTGTACTCACCACAATGATGACATATCACCTCTGTACAGCAGCTGCGTGTAATCACCACAAACATGACATATCACTCAGTACAGCAGCTGCATGTACTCACCACAATGATGACATATCGCCTCAGTACAGCAGCGGCTGCACGTACTCACCACAATGATGACATATCACCTCAGTATAGCAGCTGCGCATGCTCCACCACAATGATGACATATCGCCTCAATACAGCAGCTGCATGTACTCACCACAATGATGACATATCACCTCTGTACAGCAGCTGCGTATGTAATCACCACAAACATGACATATCCCTCAGTACAGCAGCCGCACATACTCACCACAATGATGACATATCACCTCAGTACAGCAGCTGCACATACTCACCACAATGATGACATATCACCTCAGTACAGCAGCTGCATGTACTCACCACAATGATGACATATCACCTCAGTACAGCAGCTGCATGTACTCACCACAATGATGACATATCGCCTCAGTTCAGCAGCTGCATGTACTCACCACAATGATGACATATCACCTCTGTACAGCAGCTGCGTAATGTAATCACCACAAACATGACATATCACCTCAGTACAGCAGCTGCATGTACTCACCACAATGATGACATATCGCCTCAGTACAGCAGCTGCATATACTCACCACAATGATGACATATCACCTCAGTACAGCAGCTGCATGTACTCACCACAATGATGACATATCGCCTCAGTACAGCAGCTGCATGTACTCACCACAATGATGACATATCGCCTCAGTACAGCAGCTGCATAGTGCTCACCACAATGATGACATATCACCTCAGTACAGCAGCTGCATGTAATCACCACAAACATGACATATCACCTCATTATAGCAGCTGCATGTACTCACCACAATGATGACATATCACCTCAGTACAGCAGCTGCATGTACTCACCACAATGATGACATATCACCTCAGTACAGCAGCTGCACGTACTCACCACAATGATGACATATCACCTCAGTACAGCAGCTGCACATACTCACCACAATGATGACATATCACCTCAGTACAGCAGCTGCACATACTCACCACAATGATGACATATCACCTCAGTACAGCAGCTGCACATACTCACCACAATGATGACATATCACCTCAGTACAGCAGCTGCACATACTCACCACAATGATGACATATCACCTCAGTACAGCAGCTGCACATACTCACCACAATGATGACATATCACCTCAGTACAGCAGCTGCACAGTACTCACCACAATGATGACATATCGCCTCAGTATAGCAGCTGCACATACTCACCACAATGATGACATATCACCTCAGTATAGCAGCTGCACATACTCACCACAATGATGACATATCGCCTCAGTATAGCAGCTGCACATACTCACCACAATGATGACATATCGCCTCAGTATAGCAGCTGCACATACTCACCACAATGATGACATATCACCTCAGTATAGCAGCTGCACATACTCACCACAATGATGACATATCACCTCAGTACAGCAGCTGCATGTAATCACCACAAACATGACATATCACCTCAGTACAGCAGCTGCATGTACTCACCACAATGATGACATATCGCCTCAGTACAGCAGCTGCATGTACTCACCACAATGATGACATATCACCTCAGTACAGCAGCTGCATGTACTCACCACAATGATGACATATCGCCTCAGTACAGCAGCTGCATGTGCTCACCACAATGATGACATATCACCTCAGTACAGCAGCTGCATGTACTCACCACAATGATGACATATCACCTCAGTACAGCAGCTGCATGTACTCACCACAATGATGACATATCACCTCAGTACAGCAGCTGCACATGCTACTCACCACAATGATGACATATCGCCTCAGTACAGCAGCTGCATGTACTCACCACAATGATGACATATCACCTCAGTACAGCAGCTGCATGTACTCACCACAATGATGACATATCGCCTCAGTACAGCAGCTGCATGTACTCACCACAATGATGACATATCGCCTCAGTACAGCAGCTGCATGTACTCACCACAATGATGACATATCACCTCAGTACAGCAGCTGCATGTACTCACCACAAACATGACATATCACCTCAGTACAGCAGCTGCACGTACTCACCACAATGATGACATATCACCTCAGTACAGCAGCTGCACGTACTCACCACAATGATGACATATCACCTCAGTATAGCAGCTGCACGTACTCACCACAATGATGACATATCGCCTCAAGTACAGCAGCTGCGTGGTACTCACCACAATGATGACATATCACCTCAGTACAGCAGCTGCATGTACTCACCACAATGATGACATATCACCTCTGTACAGCAGCTGCATAATCACCACAAACATGACATATCACCTCAGTACAGCAGCTGCACATACTCACCACAATGATGACATATCGCCTCAGTACAGCAGCTGCACATACTCACCACAATGATGACATATCACCTCAGTATAGCAGCTGCACATACTCACCACAATGATGACATATCGCCTCAGTACAGCAGCTGCGTACTCCACCACAATGATGACATATCGCCTCAGTACAGCAGCTGCAGATACTCACCACAATGATGACATATCACCTCTGTACAGCAGCTGCATGTAATCACCACAAACATGACATATCACCTCAGTACAGCAGCTGCACATACTCACCACAATGATGACATATCGCTGGTTGTTTTTGTGCAGGTCTGCTACAATGTCTGGCAGATCAGGGTATGTCGTGTTGTCATATGTCCAGTCAAGATGAGCTGTCATGTAGTCGATGTCGTTCCACTGGACATCCTATAGATCAATGGATTGGGTTGTTCAATTTTGTTTTATCTATCTACAGCATTGAAATCAATCAATTATGTAAATCTATTTAGTGTAGCAATTGACATCAGATCATACTGAATCTTCTTTGTTACTAATTCAAATAGCATGTGATCAAATTCAACAGTCAGACTTTGATATAAACAAGGTTTAAGGCATAAGTTTAGTTCAAACAATTCTGTGCCATATATGAGCTGATATCACTTCATAGATGGTGGTGCCATATATGTTGCATGAAGTGCTCCAAGATCTGCCTGTATGTAATCTTTAAGACCTCTTGTGAAGAACGAACTGCAAACAAAGTTTTCCGGCCTCTCTTATACCAATTGCCAAACACTGCTTCCATTCCTGGACAGTCTCAGCCTCTGTGAAGCATGCAGCATGCCCTGTGGTTGATCATGTGACTCCTTTGTCTGATCATTCTCCTCTTGGAGCTTAATCGTAATCTGTCTTAGAGGGTTAGGTCAGTCAAGCATCAATCGTGTGAGATAGGATAAGTATTGTAAATATACAATTTATAGCTAAAATTTCCAAATTTTAAAACTTATTCCATCTCATGTAGTGTACTTATCCCATGGTAGGTCAGTGGGCCACAGATTACCCAGTCCGAGGTCTCCCCAATACGTTGTTCAGATTGCTGATCCGTTTGTTGAATCTGCTTGAATCAGCTTCCAACCAGCGTATGTTAGAGCACTCATCAATAATGAAAAATTCCTATTGATGGTTGACAAAGCAAAGCGATCGCGGACCTAGGGTGTCCTGCTGAACTATGATCTTATGATACTGGTAAGACTAGACCATCCAGCGAGAAACTATAGATAGTAGTTTGAAGTAGAACCAGGCTTCTTAAGGCTCGTCGAACTGAACTGAATCAGGAATTGCTGAACTGGGATAAGGCTGGTCGAACCAAAATCAACAGCAGAAGGAATAGCTGAACTATAGGACACGTTGAACTGGTTCGATTTAATGGTACCTAGTTTGAAAACCTGAAAGATATCCTGATATCCTCAGCGTTTATAGCACGTAAATCAGATTCATAGGATAAAGAGACGGGAGACGTATCCAACTGAGCTGTGACCGTCAAAGATGGCTGATATACCTGCAATGCTGCAGACTGGATCGATGAATACATTGTCGACACACAAAGGGACTGATCCAAGGGACGATCTTGAATGTCTTCTGTCTCCAACATAATCGATGTTGGCTCACACCCATTCTGAGTTTCGGGAACCACTACCACTCTGGATGCAACCAAAGGCTTGGGCGAAAACGCTTTAGGCCAAAACAAATGTCTCAGGTTCTCATCTAAATAGAGTCTGACAATACTTCAAGAAATTCTTTGCGCTCCACAATCTCCACGACCTCTGTGGTTTCTTAACTGGCCTGTCCTTCTTGGCCTTCTTATGAGCTGACGGACCATCATCTGACCTATGTCTAGAATCACGATCTGCTAAGCGTCTAGAGCCAACTTTGTTATAAGATGAAAACAGATCAAACATCAAGTGCTGGCATAGGTGGCAACGCGATTCCCAATCACAAAGACCGATGCAATCTATACAAGTGGAATGGGGATCGGCAGATGAGGAGACCTTCTTACACTCAGGACAATATTTCCTTTTCCTTAAAGAGGAATCTTCTTTTCCTATCTTTTTCTTTTACTTTGATGAAGAGAAACTGGTAATCAATATAACTCAAATACAATATGTCTGCACTGCAGTGCGACAAGAGAGAATGATCAGACACAGGAGTCACATGATCAACCACAGGGCATGCTGCATGCTTCACAGGAGCTGAGGCTGTCCCATAAAGGGAGCAGTAGGGAGTGTTGGGCGATTGGTACAAGCGAGTCTGGCAAGCTTCATTTGCAGTTTGTTTCCACTTAGCTGTCGAATCAAGAAAGAAAGTACACTACGTGAGATATGATAAGTTTAAAAATAAGGTATTTTGGTAGATGAATAAGGGATTTATATAAGCACATTCATAAGGTATTTTGACATATACTGAAGGTACTTTGTACATATGATATTTTAACACATAAAAAGGTTTTTGGGCACATATATTTTAGGTATTTTAGTACATGCATAAGATTTTTGGAAACATACATATGGCATTTTTGCAGCTCTGTTCCTTGCAATCACTTTCTTTAATTCTGCAGCATTGTTGTAGCCATATTTGCACATATGGAAGCCGAGTGACCAAAATGGCGGCAGAAACGGCCTCCCCACCAGGTTGGTGTACTGCTGCACGACCATGTCTGGCGTCGGCCCAATGAAGATGTAGAAGTCAAGAATACCACCCAAAGCTCGGTAGGTCACTGCACCAGTGCCATTAAATGGTTGGAAGTCAACCTCTGGAACCAAAACAGTAAGGTGTGAAGCTATTACTTGTAAAGGAAATATTACAGACAATGTGGACATTACCTAGTGATAATATACTAGCAAGAAGGGCAACTACATACATGGGCATCCCACGTTTAATGATATTCTGATTAATAAGAGGCTCATGTACCAAATATCCTCACCTTTCATTTAGTTATGAGGTAGAGTTGTAAATTGTGGAACAGCGTTGCAATTGTATTACATTGTTCAGTTTGAGGCAGTGGTGTGCCTGTTACAATGTTGAGACTGGGAGAGTTGTTTAGAAGTCACCAGATCACCTAGAATATTCCCGGTATTCTGACCAAGCAGCTTAGGGTAAGTGACAGAACAGAAACTTCTGGGAGCTTTGTATATATATACAGTCAAATCCCGATGAGTCGAAAGCCGGTGTCTCGAATATTATGCATAACTCGAAGTACCTGTCGGTCCCGACCATTCCCTGTTATAGTTGTCATCATTTGAATACGGTTACGAATTCGTCTCATAAATACACACGATGACTCGAGAAGGAAATTTGGTCCCACGAGATTCAAACAACAGCAATCTTGTATACATAAGCAGAAGTCAGTCAATGAGAAGTTGGTGTAGCAAACTGATCCAATTAACAAACCAGCGCGGCTCACACCTTTCCGCCATTGACGGGTGAGTTCAAAAGGCAGATTTTACGGAAATCACTGTCTGTGCTAATCAGACTGGAACTGATAAGGTGCCCCTATTAGTGATAGGGAAATCATTAGGTAAACAAATGCTTAGGGTGGAGGAATTAGGACTGGATTATCTTTTTTTCTACCCTCATAGACATACCTATGTCTCGAATACACCGGTAAGTCGAATTTATTACTTGGTCCCCAGCGATTCGACTCATCGGGATTTGACAGTATATACATATACAGAGGTAAGCTCTATCTCGGTAATCTCATATTACATCTCACATTACAAGGAGACTAGCAGTTACTTTTCATCTAGGATTCCCAGGCCAGGTCTACTTTGGAAGCTTGACTACAGTTGCAGCGAGGTGGATATTTTCATTACTGTCTTTAATGCTTTACCACTGCTTTATATTGTATTGCCATTGTGCATGTGCCAACTAAACAAAAACTGAATATTTTACCTCAAATATTCAAAAAACTGAATATAAAAGGAATACAATATGAATTTATCCAAGTGAGCACTTTAGTTTTCAAAAGAATATTCATATTCCATAAAAAAAGAAGATGTCACAAGCATGCCTTACAGGCCACTGATCCAGAGCGATTGATGTTTATCGCCAACGGTCTAAATACGAAACCAACCTGCAAGCTCAGAGATGCCAACCCTGAATCTAAGGAAAACGGAAAGCCAGGCCTGAGCACCAAAGGTGAGAGTTGGGGGCGAGCGCGTGGCCATCTCTGCCATTTTGTTTCACTTTCATACGGACTATGACATGCATTCGGGAAAAACTTTGTGAAACTTCATCGTCAATAACATGCAATGTACACAATCGACACCCAAAGGATCACACACTAAGCTTCTGAATGCTTTTACCAGTGTTCACTCAAATAAATCACTGGTGACTTACGAAATTGTACATCGTAAAAATAAATTCAGAATTTTTTCTCAAAAATCAGAGTTTTTTAAAGAGAAATAGGAGAGCAGATTTTGTATTTGAAAATCGGAGTAACTCCGCCAAAATCGGAGTGGTTGGCATTGCTGCAAGCTGGTCAGCACCTGCTACCTCGACCGTGACGGACACAGGGACTGGACTACTGTCCACCTTGGCAGAATTTCTTCAACCTAAACAGTGGGACATTAGGAAGGGTGGATGCCCATCACATGCCGTTATTTGAAAATATCCCCGGTATTTCTTGTCTGATTGTAACATAGTATGCCAGCAGTGTATAGGCTTTTTCAGATTTTCTAATGCCTGGGTAGTATAATGACTGATCCAGTTTGATCCTATTTCTGTGTTTTTTACCTTGATATTTAATCATGTTATGTTAAAATATGATGTCTACAGGCACGTAGGAAGCCATTTGTTTTGTATAAGTCCGATAGGTTGCAAAGAGTTATATTTAGATAGTATTGAGGGTTGGCCCAGCTTTCAAAAGCAAAAATCATGTGTAAGCCCAGACATTTCTTTTTATAATGGTAGCTACGCCCCTGGTCTATTACCTATGATAATAAATAAAACACATTTCATTTATTTGAATCCGTAAACTAATAAAAACCACTTTGCCAAAAATCTTCGAAAAATCTGAAAATTTTCTTAGGCAAATAGATATACAGTTTTTAACTTAAGTACACAGCAAATGCTTATATGTGTTTCTTATGTAACAATGAAGTGCCATTCGTATCCTCAAAACAGTGTCGGCCCATAAGTTTTTTCAGGCAATTAAAATTGCAATGCAATACAGCGATTACTTCTCCCTTGCTGTAACCCGTGTTTGGTGGTTATTTGTCATCATTCGCTTGATGGTCAATTAATGAATTTATAACAGATATCATTAGTGGTAACACCACTTAGATTACCCGACAAAGGTTCCCATTTGGCATTTCTTGTGTCTGGAGTAAATACTCAACATTATAAATTAGGTCTGATGTGGCAAATGTATTACATGTTATGTAATATGTGCATGCAAGTGCAGCAAGAGGAATTATCAGCTGAGTTACAAAAACGAACATCGATCAAAGGATTAACCGACTACATGCTGATTGATTAATTACTTTTATCTCCCATAGCGGATTGGTCAAAAGGTAGTGTTTATGTGTGTAGATTTACTAATCTATACTGAATACACCCTGTCGTAAAGTGCTTGTGTAAAAACAATGTCCTTCCTTCCTGTGTTCTTCGGTTTTTTTGCTGATTCTGTCGTATGTCTTCGACCCATAGCCAGAGCGAAAGTAAATCCATTTTGCCAGGTGCCAGGCTTTGTTTATAAACAGGGAGTTACCCACACTAGGTGGCGCTGCTCTTTTACGAAATATGTGCGTTCACGACTGTGGCGCATCACAGGTCACGAACTAGTAAAGAATTCTGGGTATCATCCGGGCGCTCACGGGAGAAAAACAATAACAAGAGCAACAACCAGTCCACGGAAATTGCTCCGGATCAGTGGCCCTTTAACCGCCAGTACGTTGATTGATTGCTCATTATTGGCTAACTAAAGTACTTGTTTAAGGAATGGCGGACACCATACAATTAGTTGCCAGGTGTGCTATCTTGGGTGACCAATGAGACAATACTCCAATGTGAAAAACCTGAAACGGTGTATCACCTTATCGCATAGTAGACTGTTAAAGGACACATGGCATGGAGCAGGATTATTTACCAGCTGCAGATGAATGGCATATCGTTCTATTATGTGGATATTGATGGATACATTCCCCGAACAAGGTAATAGCCTGACATTGTTGCTATAACTTTAGTCTGTTTTGATTTTAATATTTGCATCTTGTTTTTATTCATTTGTTGTAGCATTCAGCAGAATCTGTATGACAGACAAGATACACTAGGTCGTACTTAGGGCGTGTGTGTGTGAAATATGATTCACATTGGCAATCTATACAATGTCTAGATATTACATGTTATAAATTCACTATAAGTATAAGCAGATCGTATGCTTTTTTATTTAGTTTCAAAATGCATACAAATATGATAATAAACTTATTTGGATTAAAAGACAAAATATAAAGACGTACATTGACTTTGTTATTTTTCTGTCCTAACAGTTTTTACCACTGGCAGATGATTAAACTTCAAAGCGTTTTCATTTGTTTTCATAACAATGAAGTAAAAACTTTGTTGATCAGTCTATACTTATGCTATCAATTAGGCATGCGGGTGGCACAGCAGAGGTCACGAACCAGTCACGAATTCTGGGATATCATCCGGGAGAAAAACAATAAAAAAAGCAACAACCAGTCCACGGAAATTGCTCTGGATCAACGCCCTTTAAAACAAATCTAGGATTATCAAATTCTCAACCAATCAGTTGACACACTCAGAGTTATGTCCCTTTTGTAAGCATGACTAAGACTTTGTAAGTGCATTTCTGCAAGCATATCACTGAGTGCAATATATGTGAACCTCATGTAGGTTTTACTGTGAAAGCTTTTGATCTTATGTTTATGACAGTAAAGGTTTATAATGTAATGAACAATATTGTGAGGCTTGAAAACTATAAATATAAAGCAAATAGTCTCTGTGTTTCATTTTACCATAGTAATACTAGAGCTTAACACTAGGTACTTGTTGTTGTAGAACATTCTTTTCTTGAAGAGTCTTACCCATAGCGTTACTGTTCAGTAGGAACACCCCATGTGCATTGTGCTGCTCGTCCATGTTCAGGTAAAAAGGATGGGCCCCATACAGGTTCAAGTTTGGCTAACAGAAAACAAACATAACATTACATATATTATCCATGTTTAGGTAAAGATGGTGGGCTAGAAACCAATGGGGAGGCACTATAAACACGTATTTGAAAATCCAGAAGGCGACGCGGCTCATTACCACACACATTGAATGTACACTGTCATGTACCATATCAATATTCAGAAATAAAAAATTCAGTATTTCTTATTTCTCAATCGTCCAGGCTGATTTCTTTTAAATGAGGAAAATATACAGATTTGCCAAGTTTTAAGATAGCTAGACTATTATCAAGTATTGATAAACCAATGCCATCAGCTACCTCTGGGGGTTGATCTCGGTTCCAGAACACCATTTTCTTCCAGTTTGTGTCCAGTTTGAAGCCTGACCGGTGTTCTCCAAAGCCATACACATTGGAGGTGGTCAGTGCAGTCCCGATCTGAAGGTACTGGTCAGCAAATATCAATGGGGACACGCCAGTTGAGTCAAACCTGTTCACAAATAAACACAAATATCAGTAAAGAAATCAAACAAAAGCCCTGTGTGTGTAAACACATTAAAAGCATGCCCCAGATGTACACCTATATCACTGGTACTCACATCTATGTGTAAGGTAGGGCAGGGATTTATTTTGGATTTCAAACAAGTGCCTTTGGCAAGAAAATTAGGACAAACAAATTGATATTGTTTGCAACTGACTTAATCAAACTCTGACAGGTAACAGGTCAACTCTAACAGGTAAAGGGTCAACTCTGACAGTGAAAGGGCCAACTCTGACAGTGAATCTGTTGGTATATGACCACATGGTGGCCACAATAGCTCGGTGCGCCTAGTGGCTGCAAGAGATGTATGCTCCTCAGGGAGTTGAGATTGACAATACGACGTGCCGTTGAGATTGACATCCAGTGAACGAGGGAAAAACTAAGAGCCTTTGAACTCTGACAGGTAATAAAGGGGCAACTCTGACAGTGAATGGGGCAACTCTGACAGGTAAAGGGTTAACTCTGACAGTGAATGGGATCAACTCTGTCAGTGAAGGGGTCAACTCTGTCAGTGAAGGGGTCAGCTCTGTCAGTAAAGGGGTCAACTGTCAGTGAAGGGGTCAACTCTGTCAGTGAAGGGGTCAGCTCTGTCAGTGAAGGGGTCAGCTCTGTCAGTGATGGGGTCAGCTCTGTCAGTGAAGGGGTCAACTGTCAGTGAAAGGGTCAGCTCTGTCAGTAAAGGGGTAAGAGTATGTACTGTGTTTCCTCGAAGACAAATCCACTTTACAGGCTTTGTTCTCCTTGATTACAAAGTCAAAGGATGCATAATACATTGGTGAGTAATGGAAGTAAATCTGAGATCACGACAGAAATTCCTTACAATATTTGTCCTGTTGACAACCGTCTGATGATTATCCCAAAGGGGTTCCTGGCCAGCTTGATGTCAAAATCTGTATCTGACCCTCCACCACTCTCTTCCTTTTGTGTTTCAATGGGAACCTCGTATCTTGAAGTGGTTGTATCATAGATCTGTCAAACAAAAATAAACAATGGATGCAAGAATATATTCGTGACATTATGTACATTATGACATCAGCGGTGACAGGTCAGATTGTACATATCTGGCAATACATCAAAGTGCTGCAACATAACCTTAGAATATGATTATAAATATTTCACATTTACAAAGCCAAATCTGCAATTAAAATGTCACAATGCTAGGATATATTTCTCTTGGTAAAACAAGAGTTTCTGGTACTATTTTCTGCTCACTGCATCAGAAAATATTTCTGTTATATTATTGGGTATGTTTTATCTAAATCACTTGTAGTACTGTTGAAACATGTGTTCAGCTAATTGCACATTGTAATCTTAATGCCTGCATATAGTACAATGCCTGGCAAAATCAAAAGGTAAATAATGTTGTCTTGTGATTTTTAATTGCAAATTTGATGTCTTTACTAACAAAGGTAAGTCATTTTTTCTTGTTTGTTCACACTAAGCGATAAGATGACGTTCTCTCAGAGATGCCAATCCTTAATCAAATGAAAACCGAGTCATGCCTTGCTAAGAGCAATCCCCGAGCCCTGAAGGTGTGAGTTGGGGGGTAACTAAGCATGAGAGGGGGCTTGGGCCCCTTTTGACGGTGGGCATCTGGGGGGCCTCCCATATGAAAATCTATAGATTTAGCCTGGCAAAATATGCAATTTCTTAGCATACTTAACCAGATAATACTTAACTCAAATGAACATATTTAAATGGCTATTTACTAAAATTCTTTCAAACATTCTAAGTTTATAAACATATTTGTATTTTCTAAAAAAATGGAGTTTTTTATAGACAAATCGGGAAGTGGATTTTATCTTTGAAAATCGGAGTGGTTGGCATCTCTGTTCTCCTATCCCCCAAAAATGAGAATGGAAAGTGTAACCTTTAGGAAAGTGTAACCCCATTAGATAAGCTGACACTTTTTGCAGACTTCTTTGGGAGTGCTGTTTTCATCTTGTCTGTGGTATATATGGCACATTTCTCAAATGGAAAATGAACACTACCGGTAATGCTAAAGTGCAATGACCAACCTACTATTTCAAGGTTAATAATGTGATTAATAATGGTTTACCTTAATGCGTAGTCTATCATACGTTTCAGCTGATATCTCTAACAGTAGTTGCATGGAGTCATTGGGATAAGGGGAGTTTGTTGTCCGTGCCAAGTGTCCAATGACCCCAGTACTGGTTTTCTGTGAGTACATGAGCATATAGCTGCGGTTAAAGTAGCCAGGGTAGTAGCAGTAGGGTGCCCCTTGCTCCACATCCGTGTTCCAGCAGCACCCCCGGGCCTCACAAGTGGACTGGGTGGCATCTCGGTACTCAGGCCAACAGTCCGAACGGTCAGAACCTGGAAGCATTAGAGTACATGAACACCACCATCTGAGTGAGGTTTATGCCCCTTTTAGCAATATTACACCAATATCAAGGTGGTAAACAACAGAAATGGGCCTCTCACATTGTAACCATGTAGGGATTTGAACCCGGGTCTTTGACGTGATGAGTGAACGCTTTAACCAGTTGGCTCCCTGCCCCTCACCAACTGAGAGGCAGTCATTGATACTGCGGCCCCTTATCCTCAAGTCATTGGTTTACAGACAGAATTATCTTCAAGAACTTGATTTCCAGAAAGTTGTAAAATAAAAAGGAGACATAGATCTCAGAAGCTAATCTGAATTATAAACATATATAGAAATTATATAAAGATGCATCTTCCTTTTTAAGCAATAATAAACAAAAGCAACATTTGCACATCAGCAAAACATGCACATCTATTGTCTTATGTTTTTGTTTAGTTAAAGCAAATAGGCAATGTTTAATGTAATGACTGAATCTGCCAAATAAGTTTTGAAAACAACCCACATACATGTACTATTGTGACAGGGATGTGGGTTTTTGAATAATCTACAAAGTTACAAAGCAAGTAGGACACAAAATGACATGGAAATTGCACACTCCCATCCCTTTCAAGAACATTGTATGCTTGGGGACTAACACTTTCAGAGCATTGAGTCACAGCATGATGTAGGTGCATGTCATCAAACTCCCGGTTATGAAATGACCAGTGTTCACGAATAGCGTCGGACCCTCTGACAAATCCGGCAGATTCGGCAACGGTCCGATAAAAGTACACAACCCGCCGGACCCAGTGTCTGACTGTATATTTGACAATGACTTTGACTGATCGAAGTTGTTATATGTGACATGTGACACTTGTTCGCTGTTAATAAATCTTATGTTTGTTAATAATTTCAATGCCAATTATAAGAAATGTTAAATCTGAAATGTGTGTTTAATTTTATTCTATGGGTCCTGTGAATTTTCAATGGGTCAGATAGACATCTGAAACTAATACAGGACCCAATGTCCTATTACTTTGAATACCATTCGTGAACACTGCATGACACTCCTTAACACCAGTTTCAACATCATTTAACAAAGTATATATCTTGAAGGTTAATCTGGGCACAGTAACTGTTGTCTCTACAACATGTACCGTATCTCATCCAATGTTCCCTAAATAACTTAACAGTACATGTATGCGTCAGATAAACTCAAGGTACAAAGCACCATACAACAGAGTCATCACTGAGTTTAGTCCCTATAATCATCTTAAAAGATGCTGAATATGTTTCATATGAATTACCTCTCCCTGGAATAGATAGAAATAATAAAAAAATCTTTAAAAACGAAATTTCATTGTCTATGACAATAGTTATTTATCATTAACACAGAATTCTCTGTATGTAATGTCTCAGTGACTGGAGCTTATGCAACATGTCAGTTAAAATAATAAGCGTCAGGACTCTACATACCTAGTCCAGCATATAACTAGACGACTTTGCACTATACCAAGGTGTGCTCGATGTAGGCCTTGGCTGGAATACGAGTTTATTCATATGAACTACTACATACTGAGGGTGGAAGTTTGATAAACAATGCACAGAGGTGCTAATTATGGGAAGTATGGTAACTTATGCACCTTTGCACCTACTGATTGTGGTCTGTTGTATTTCCTGACAGGTCTTTTGCCCATTGGAGGGCAATCTGATTGTTACTCGGTTATTTAAATTAGCATGCAAAATAATTTATACTTGCCTTTACTCAGCCATTGAGAATGCAAAATAATTTATACTTGCCTTTACTCAGCCATTGAGAATGCAAAATATATATTTATACTTGCCTTTAGAGATATCACACTGGCTTGTTCTTACAGCTATGGGGGGAGTCTTGATAACGGAGTTGTGATCTTGACCGCTGCAACCTTGAAACTGACCACTGACTTGGTGAAAGAACACTAAATAGACTCCGACAAATGCACAAAACGATGTTATCAACCCCACGATAACCCCCACAAGAAAGTACCATTTTCTTGACAATCTGTTGGAACTGTGGGGGCTTCTGAGAAATAGCTCCACTTCGTCGTCTTTCATGCCCATGTTGCCCTAGTGTAGAAGACTGTCTATGCAGAAGAACCGCTACAGGATGTGTGATGTGCACGATGTGCACATGACGACCTCCTCGGAACTTCTCATTTCCTTATTCTGATATCAGCTGATTAGACCGCCATGTTTGTATCATGTGACTCGTCCATTGGTCACATGACTAGTGCCCAAGTTGAGTCGTTCAAGAATCCACTCAACCGACAAGAACGAAAATGTATTCTCCGTTTTACCTAGTCTGCCTCACAGTCCCTGAACCGCATTATTTCCCCTTTCTCCATGGCTTTCCGTACTGCTAAAGCCCTAAATGAAGCAAATCTAGATTTCCTCACGTTCAGAATCTCCCATCTAACTGATGCCTCATATATATGTTATATTTGGGATTACACTTTCTTAGTAAAGTACAGATTCTAGTACATGTACTTATTGGGTTGAGTCCCATCCGGGATTCGAACCCACACCCTCCGGCCCGGATGGGACTCAACCCAAAGGACTAGAATCTGTACTTTACTAAGAAAGTGTAATCCCAAATATAACATATGTTACATTTGACCACTTTCTAAAAGGGCATTGTGTATTTCATAACTGATGCCCCTGTACAATTTCAAAGGAATTGTTTGTTTCTACCAAAATGACATATATTCAGAGACTAAGCGTTAGTCTACGTTATACACTGAGATAATATCACTCGCTTCATATTCTAAGTAAGTACAGCATAGATTTGGATTGATAATGCTTACTAGAATCTGTACTTTACTGAGAAAGTGTAAACCTAATTTAACACATACTACATTTGACCACTTTACAAGTGGCATCGTGTATTCAATGCATACGCTGATCTGATTTAAATTGTGGTATCCTCCCATTACGCAGACAGGCAGTTCGCAGACGCCTTAAAACAACATTTACGGTTCAATTAACATATTAGCTACTACCTGGTCTACACATTATAGTGGAATAATCCAAATAAAAACACGAGAAAATTTATAATTATATTATACTAATTTTGAAAATATAAACTATAGATTATAAAATTATAAATTATACTAATTTTGAACATTTTATGAACAAAATGTTTTGCTCACAAGATATATAATGAGTACACATAAACTATGTAAAAATGACGCAACATGTCAATGTGGAGAATGTTTTTCATTACTTCCTTGAATGTCCATTGTATACTTTTCAAAGACAAACCGTTAAAATCTTGACCATGTTGGCAGTGTTGTCGTTGAAAATACAGATGATTGATTTGACTTGGGAATCACAGACAGGGATCATGTTTGCATATGAAGTTGCATGTCTGGATGTAAAATAAACCCATTATCATGGGTTTGAATTCCAGATTCATCCCGAGTATTGCTCGAGGTTTATCACCTTGCCAGCACTCATGGTTTTACCAAAATAACCAGCTTCTTGGATCTGCATCAAGGTGAAGCCTCCTACATTAAGCGGACATGGTGTGATGAAACTAAGATAGTGTAGTGTTAAGCCTAATTACTCACTCTTGTTTCTATTCGCCTTGTTTTAGGTACAAAACCATGACATCAAATCACAACCAAAATTAAACATGCGTTTGTATACAGAGTTTGGCGGTATCTCACATTGGCAAGCATATCATAACAAATGACATTGTAGGAAAAAGGGTCACTTGTACGTTAGTATCAATCAAACAATTGATGGCAATCAGACCAGAATCCTACAAATTTGGTAAAATTACAAGAAGAGATGACATGTGTTCGCTCGATATTGTAAACTTTACTTATTTCCTTTCTGATCATATCGAAACTTGGTGTACAAGTATATGTTCGTATTTCAAAAAGAGTAAACTTGACAACTGTTAAGAGATTAAGGACATCGTTCCTTTTTTCAGAGAATCCGAATATGATTTTCATCTTATCGATATTCAATGTGATATCTGTTTTTGTTCTTATCCAATTGGAAAATTGATTCCATAAGTTTCTAGATTTTGGACAGTCGTAAAAGAGATGAATTCCGCTTTCTGGTGCATTTTTACAAAATGAGCATAACTTACTCTCTACATACCCATCTTAAACGAGAGTAGGTCTGTTGCTAAGATTCTATGCACTTAAGAATATTGGAATCATCTAAAGTCTGAATTTATATGAGCTCGAAATATAATCTTTTGATAGGATTTCCATTCTTTTTCACTCATATCTGTTTCAAGTTCATCTTCCCATTTTTTATAGCTATATATAGCAGAGTGTAAAATTGGAATAAGTATGTCGTAATATATCTTACAACCTTTCTTATTTCTAAAGATGTCTTGAATGTGATAAGGAATAAATGGTAATTCAAGTTTTTCTCCAAATGGTATGTTGTATGTTTTATAATATTGTTTAACTGCTCTTACTACGCTTGCATATTCTTGATAAAAGGAAATAGTCCAGTCTAGCTTGTTTTATAAGGTTTTTTTGGCGCCACGTATATCGCTTTTGTAAAGGGTTATTATCTCCACGGATCAATAACATTAAATTCTTCAATATATTCTAGCAATACATTTCTCACCAAAGTGTTATTTACATACTTGCTGTTATAAAGATCAAGTTCAATATCTTGATAATGTTCCAATCTCCACAAATAATAAAATATTCTGAGTCGAAGCGTTTGATGATATCAATATGTTATGGATAAATTCTGAGTATCTTTATTGGGACCAAAAACACCGATATCAAAGTAATTGTTCTTTCTTCAATTTCTATTTTAATGATAAGTAGTTTCCTTCTTCATCCTTAATTTCTTCTTTAATTTTGAATTCAAAGTTCTTATTGAATAAAATTGCTACTCCTCTGGAGTTACTTCTATAGGAACTGAATTTACAATGTCTTGATCCCCATTCATGTTCCATATTACGTTCTTAATCTGATGTAAAGTCGGTGTCTTGTAGACAATATATATGTGCTTTTCAAATATCCAAACACATCTCTGCTTTTGTTCACATTGTTTAGGCATTGACAGTTATTACAATATATTTTTACACTGTCTAGCATGTTGGGCATTTCCTACGCTTAACCAAGTAGATGAAATGTGTGCCAAACATAGGTAATTCAGTCTTTGATGGACAATGTTTAGTACCTGGGCTTTTACAAAAACATGAAATAAAGGTAAACTTGGTAAAATAACAATTCATTAAAAGCTTCCAAAAAACCTCCGAAGGCTCCAACCACCTATGACTGGGGCTATAGAAAACTCGTTTCTAAACAAACTTCACCAAACCTTGTCCTCTGTAAATATAATTCAAGTTGTAGTACATGTATATATCTGTCTGGTTTAAAGCCAGACTGAGAGTATCAAATATTAATATCAAGCACGTTACTAACTCGTTCTTCTGCGACTTAATCTCGTCTTTACCGAATTTCCCGTAACACAGATGTTGTTTCATACGTCCGTGAGTGTCTTTTCATGACAATTCATAACTGTAGAAACAAAACAAAACCACAATACATAAATAGTTCATGAATGTCCTTCCTTGTTAGTGAACTTGTTCAACTGACACCCGTCTCTACACCACGTATCGGGCAATCACAGTCACGCACTGCACGTGCCGCGTCAAGTTGCAGTGGCGGCATTTGTTTACAAAACATGAGTGACGTGTGAAAATACAATTATTGTACATCAAATTTTGTAATATCGCACACACACATATACACACACACACACACACACACACACACACACACACACACACACGTAAATACATATACACATATATATACATGCATAAACTTTTGACACACACCAATTTTGGTAGAGCTTAAAATTAGAGTTTAAACAAATTTGCATATTGAGGCTCTTATAAATAAAAAAGCATTGGAATGCATTGATTTAGGTTGCCTGAATGTTGTCCTTGAGAGGTATTACAATATATTTTTACTTTGTCTAACATGCTGGGTATTTCCTATGTTATCCACGTAGATGAAATGTGTGCCCAGCATAAGTAATTCAGTATTTGATGGGCAATGTTTAGTATCTGATTTTTAACAAAAACAAAAATTGAAGGTAAATTAGGTAAAGTAACAATTCATTATTAGCTCCCGAAAAAACAAACCAAAGGCTCCAACGACTTATGACAAGGGACATAGGAAGCTCGTTTCCAAACTAACTTCACCAAAACTTGTCCTCTGTAAATGTAACTCAACAAGTAACAACATCTGTCTGGTTTAACGCCGGAGTATCAAATATTAATATCAAGAACGTTACTTACTAGTTTTCTCGGAATGACTTACTCAGTCACTTATTCAGTCACTTATTCACATTTGTTCATAATCTGTCTCACAGTCCCTGAACCACATTATTGTCCCTACAGCCTAGCCCTCGCTACAATGTTAAAGCCCTAAACAACTCTGTGCAACCACTAGGCACACCGAGTTATTGCAGTTTACTAGGCTTTCTCATCCTTACGAGGTACCCACTGACAGCTGGGTGGACTGGGATTACAGTCACAGTACTTAGTGGTAAAGAGTTCCTCCCGTTCCCCATCCCAAATAATATTTATAGATATACTAAACTTATTAACAAAACTTAACACAACAATTACTAGAGAACTCACAAAATGACTAAAAGTCCAAAATTTACGTTAGGGTTAGGTTTCGGGTTAGGTTTTCGGGTTAGGTTTCGAGTTAGGTTTAGGGTTGGGGAACGGAAGGAACTCTTTCCCAGTACTTTGTCCAAGTTTACTGCACGTTGCTTCACCCGCAACTAGGTGTTTGCATCGTATTCATGTGGCCACCATCTGGTCATATACCAACAGATTCGTGGGTTCTTTAAGTGCAAAGGGTTGTGTACTGTACACTAGGGGTTGTGACAACACTGAACGAGTCTACACACAAGGTTTTCTCCAAGGTTTCTACACCCAATCACAGTCTCGACACCTCAAGCTCTCTGGATCACTAGCCTGGCGCCTTAGCCAGCTCGCCCACCATGCCCCAGGTTCTAAATCTCTTGACTCACTGGGGGTCCTTTTCAGTTTAAATGGGTTTATTTGTTACAACCAAAATTATATATATTCAGAGACTAAGCGTTAGTCTAACTTGTCCACTACAATTGTTAATGCAATAACACAAAAGCTGATACTCGCATCAACAGGGTTTATTGTAATACTATTAACATTAGATTTTACAGTTCATTGTACATGGCTGTGACTGAGGATTACACAGATGAATATTAGTTGCTTTGAGTTGAGTATAGTTGTTACGTTGATGAGGTTCAGAAAACTAAAATAAACAATAGCTTTCTATAAATTCAGAAAATGTACAAGTTCCATAGTACATAATATATTCAATATTTAACTAAAATGATATATGAATACATTGAAATTGCAAAATTAACAACCACAAATTTACAAATAATTGTGTCGAAATATAGTTTTTGCACTAACCAAATTATATTGGCATATATACAATTTCATGGGCATAGAGCCCAGGTCACAAAAAGATGAAGTTAAGGAACGTTGGTCACGGAGAGGTCCCCTGATGGGTGACCGTGTTCGGCAGCTTGATTTCTGTTTCTTGGACTTCTGTCCTGCTCCACGACGAAGTACACGTGACACATGTGGTCTTACCAGGAGGCAAGTGAGTTTGTTAAAATTGTCCCTGTTCATCCAAGCAGATGATGGGTACCCGGTGGGATAAAACTATTGTCCTTCTAGCGCCTCCCAGGTTATCCGGGTTAATAATGTCAACATGTTGTGGAGCACTTAGAGCTTACCCGTACGGCGTGAAGCTCAGCGCTATGTAAGTGGCCTTATTATCAAATATGACAAATGTTATATTTGGGATTACACTTTCTTAGTAAAGTACAAATTCTAGTACTTTTTGGGTAGAGCCCCACCCGGATTCGAACCCACACCCTCAGAGTCAGGCACCTAATCGCTAGCACACAAAGTCAGCCTCCTAACCCGCTCAGCCACCGCGACTTCCACTTCCACTTTCTTAGTAAAGTACAAATTCTAGTGTAATCCCAAATATAACATATGTTACATTTGACCACTTTCTAAAATAGCTGTGTGTAATCATCAAATTTTACAGTAGTAAATATTTCATAAATGACGAAACCAGATAAACAGATAAAGAAAGCACATAAATAACATGAAAATTAGAACTGGGTCAAATACGTTGCAACATACCTACATGCACATGAACTTTGGGCAGCGGTTCATTTTAACATACGTGCATGTAAATACCAAGCATGAGAAGAAAGACAACGTTTATGCCTCTTAAACCGAACACCAAAACACATACATTCACACACAGAAGCGCCACTCGACGTCATCAATAATTCAGACAATTTCAAGGAAGGTCGATTAATCTCTGTATACCATATTTTCTGTCAATCTTAGTGAATCTGTTCATCATCACACTTGTGATTTACTTGATTTCATTCATTGTGTATGAGATTAGTCGTCTGCAGCAGGTAGAGCGCCTACAGGCTATTTGCATGGTGGAAACTGCTAGAGGTCCGCGTGCAGTGGCGAATGTTGCAATGCTTCACATTCTTCGATCGAGTAGACAAATAAACAGGTACCAAGAAACTATGACGTTGATGACTGACTAGGTTCAGTGCCTCAAAATCACTGACAACAGTCTCGATTGATCCGAAACAAGACTCTACAAAATCGAACTTGAGAGGCGAATCGAACTGCTGCAGGTTTTCATCAGGCCTCTGGGGTACGAGGGTACGGGTCAGACGACCAGAAGTCTGAATGCAGCTCACCTCTATGCTGCGGAGGGCTGGTCATCATTGCCCTGACAGCAATGGATTTGAGTAAAAAGGGTCCACCGACAGCACGAGTTAAAATCAACTAAAATTTGTACTCCTTCACCTCTGCGTTACGGCACAACATATAAAGAAGGATCCGCGTGAATGACAGAAAATACTCTTCAGGGCAGATACATTATCTTCTGAAGTGAGAAGATCTCTGATAAACTCTCCCGTCTCTGAAAGCTGTATGATGGTGTTAGAGTTACTGTTGACCACTAGAATGTCTCCCTGTCCTGGTCGTGGTAATTCCGTGTGGAATGCCAAGCGCTCTGTCTCCCTTCTGGGGCGTATCTCCACACAACATCCCCTCAGACGTCAGACATGTCACAGACTTCTCCCCCAGTCAGACACAAGTATGTTGCCTTTGTTGTTGACGTGGATGTAATCGGGGTAGCTGAAGAGCTGCATATTGTTGTGTGTGGTAACTGACCTCAACACCAGTCCCGACATATCCAGGATATCAACGCAATGGTCTGTACTTGCAGCAAGCGATGACGGACAGCCGAGTACGATACGTGTTGTGATGGTTGAGAGCGGCACTAGGTCCGGGGTGACATCCACTTTCAGTATCTGGCATGATTCGGGGACAGCAACAAGTACCTGCTTCTTTTCTCCACCTGGGTTACTCCCCACGGAGATTCCTTCAGACGACTTGAAGTGCAACGCCACTTGTTGTTTCTGGAGTAAAACGATGTTATACAGTTATTGTCACCGTCAGTGACTACAACTGCCTGTACACCATCTACGACGAGGACTGCGATGGCACGGATATTAAATAACATCTTGCCACAGATCTTCCTGGTATCAATGGTGTTAACTAGCTTGGGTGCCTTCAGATTACACCTTTCTGGGGTTTTATTGTGGACCTTCTCCCTTTCTGGAATTGGCCTCGTCGCTTCCTTTCCCCATTCTGCTTGGTTTCAAGATCAAAGAGGTCATGGTCACTTGACATAGGGCTGACCCAATGTATCTTCACGCATCTTTCGCAGAGGACCACTTTGCATTCTGGACACCACAGATTCCCTGTAGTTATCTCCCTAGTTGCTGACAGATTGTGCAGCAATTATTCGTCGGCACTGTAAAAATAATTATACAAATAACGATTATTCTAAGATATTTACACGAACGAGAGGCGATACTTAACAAATGAAATCTATTTCAGTTCAGTAATAATATTATTATATTATCATATATACGTAATCAACATATTGTCAATTTGTCAATTTTACTTGGTGAGACATACGTTTTCTCCTTAATATACTTTATTTTCTAAATTTGATCGATTAATATTTACTCTACACGTAAGCGCAATTTTTCATTCTTGAAATATTTTAAAAACAGAATTTATCAGCATAATCTTTCAGAAATTAACTAACACCTCATGTCACATGACATATTATATGTTTTATTCAAAATAAATCAATATATAAGTAATACCACTGCTTGACCATTTAGCTTTCACTTAACCTGGTTTGTCTGTCAACTTCTGTATAATGATGCTGGGTTTGATCTGCCCTGCCCACTCCTCCAGCGGCCTGCTGGGGTGGGGACCTTGGTGTCTTGTCGACAGCAGGGACAGGGGATTGTCTTGGACTGTACAGCATCTGGTCTGGTTTTGATGTATGAGGTGACACATTTCCTGCAGAATGTGTGATCACACCACAGTGTACACGGGTCTGTGTACATCTCGAAGCAGATGGAGCAAGTCAGGAAATTATCTTTTACTTTCTTCTCTAGCCCGGCGGTCGCCATCTGTAAGATACACATGCAGTTTGTGTCTTTTTATTTTAGTACAAATAGATTACATTTTATTCACTACAGATTCCATAAGCAGCAATGATACATCTGAACACACACGCATTTGCATGCGAAGCCGAATACGAACGCATCGCGCGCAGCACACATACATACATATGATGCATGCATGTATGTGTGTAGGCATGTGTACGGTGTGATCTGTAGCATGTGCCAGAGTATGTCCTTATGTATCCAAGCTGTCAGACCGCTCCGAGCGAGGAAACGTTGACATTTTCCCGACATTTATTCATTCAGATTAAGAATAAATATGTTGACAGCAAACAGACGACGTAATGGACAAGAGTTACTTCCCTTTACTTTTAAAACCTCAACAATACCGGTGCAGATAAGCAAGTTACAGGAAATGTGTTCCAAATGATGTCTTACTCACACCACATAAAAGCTAGTTTAACATCTCAGTTATCCACTTGGATGAAAGGTTATGTCTCTTAAACAATCGGTAACACAACATTGTGTTCTAACACTATGATGTGTTTGTGATGCTGACGATTTGGATGAGGAAGCGTATTGGTTTGGGGAGCATTTCGCGCCGACATTTAACCTCAACTGAATCTATAGTCTGTTTGGCTCAAAAGCGGACCGATGAATTGCAATCTAACTCGAAACTAATAAACATATAATACTCAATGAAACGCTGATCATAATCAAAACATCAGACCTATTCTGTGATTTGTTTGCAGAATTTATGTCCAAAAATAAAAGTTGTTTAACAAACTATCATTAAAATATCGACACACCCACTATATGTTACGAGGGAGGAGTGCAGAGAAAGGACAGCCAGGTGTGCGGAAAGGATGGAGACGGCACAGCACAAGTAAATGAATCAATAACGTTGTCGGCACTTGTGCACGTGCTTCTTAACACCTGGCCGTCCTTTCGTTGCACTCCTCCCTCGTAACAAATGGTGAACTATGTCAAAATTTTAATGATAGTTCGTAAACAACTTTTTAATTTTAGAACAAAAATTCTGCAAACAAATCACAGGGTAGGTCTGACATTTTGATTATGATCAGCGTTTCATTGAGTACTATATGTTTATTAGTTTTCGAGTTAGAAACTGTACTACCATACAGTATGGAGAGGAAGAACTGACCCTGGGTATTCTGCCGTTCATGCAGATATATGGTCCTGACAGACATTTCAACTCTAAGTCTAATGAGGCGTAGCATCTTGCGTAAAGTCGATGTTGATGTTATTGACAGGCCTTTAAGTTCTACATATAACAATCTATGACTGTCCACATTGAACAGTATATAAACGGTGACTCTCGACCCAAACCTACATTCCTGCCAGATACATGCACTTCAGGCGTGGAGAAACACAACCGACATACCTGCACCGCCACGACTATACATGGTGTCTATTCACTCGTGGATAACCTCAACCCTGTTCTAAGGGAAACACTAACACTACACATGATCGACACGTCCCGCAGCCATCAGTAGTAAGGTATCGCACAAAGCACAGTCGGAGGAACGATCGAGTGAACGGATACGTTCATCGAAATTACACCTGAACACTATTAATCAACTCCACGAATCAGTCAATGTCAAAGCCTTTGTATAATTGGATTTACCAATTTAGCTCCGGTACTACGTGTTACAACACCATCGAGGGGCCATCGTTTAAAGTGATAACGAAAGTAGACAACTTCCGCGTTAAATGCTCAAGTATCACTGATTTCAAGACGTTTTGACACTCGTATATTCAGAGTCTGTCAGATCATCAATAACATTTGACAAAACACAATACCGGTATCAGGTATCAGCTTGACAATACGTAGTTTACAGAAAAATGACAAGCAATGACTTAGTCTACCTTCCGCTTGCTGTGTGTTCGGTCGTGTTTTGTAACAATCGGTTGAACTCGCCGTTTTCCGTAAATGTTCTGTCTGCTGGGCGGTTATTGGCCTTTATTGACTCTCTGTAAAACACGCACCCGGTGTTGGTAGGAAATTCAGATAATTTGTAAACATAAATTAAGGAAACATTGATACAGGGATATCCACACGGGAGCAACACAGCATCATATTTTCATTTAAATGCCAAACACACTAAATGTACATTGTCAAGAAGATAACTTTCAGAAAATGTTGGAAACAGTATAAACAACACTGGCTTCGATTATTTCCCCTGTCATGGCATTTATGCACACGTCAAATGTCTTATCGAAAGTAGAAAATATATTTCCTGCTGCAGTTATGGGTTATTTTCTGTGTATGGAAAATGGAATGTAACGAACTCGTCAGGACTTCCCAGGTATGTTTCACACAGGTAAAATATTGATTTTAGATCCACTAATGTTTTTCAGTGACACAGTATTCTTACTCTGCGCAGTCTCTTTGTTTCCGGAACGAGAGACCAGGCATCTTTCAAATGAATAGTTTACCCTCAGACATCATATATTCAACACATAGTCGTTGTCCGTTAGCTAAGGCACCGGACGTCCTGTGTAGTACTTACAACCCCATGAAGATCCGGGTTAGAAGTGATCTTCAGGAACCCATGCTTGTTCTAAGAGGCAAATAACGGGATCAGGTGGTCAGGGCTAGCATGGTTGGCACATGTCAATCAGTCAAACAGTCCAATCTCTCACTAGGTGGGTACATTGTCACCCTCATTTCCTCCTCTCAGCAGGAGAGTCGTCAAACGTCTCACCATGGTGGGTAGTCATACTTACATACTTACACTTCACTACCTGGGTTATAAGACTTGACTATAGGACCTTTATTTTTATACCTGTATTCTTACATTTTCTTATGGTTTGTTAGAAGCATGCTGTGTTTCACTTAAGCCGAGCCGTGAAGATCCGGGTTAGAATATTGATCTTCAATAATCCATGCTTGTCGTAAGAGGGAACTAACGGGATCTGGTGGTCAGGCTCGCTGACTTGATTGTCACATGTCATCGAATCCCAGCTGCGTAGACCGGTGCCTGCATGATGTTGACCACTGGATTGTCTTTTCCAGACTCGATTATTAACAGTATTCCGCCATATAACTGGAATATCGCTGAATTGAGCGTTAAACAAGAAACGAACAAGACAAAAGTAATTGCATCTCCACGACACCGGTGTACATGGCAGTAGAATCCACTGACTTTCATTGGTCATCTTTCAAGATGACCAGTATATCATATTTCATGAATGGATTTCTCTGCCATTGCAAGTTTCATGCAAAGAGTGCAATGATTTCTAGTTATAAAATGGGATCATTTCTTTCCATGGTCTTTTCTTGCCGACTGTTTCCATGTTGTTAATCTGTTGTGTCCGGCATAATCAATCCACGAAGAGCTTATTCGATGTCATACATTGCGTTTGTAAATTCTCCACCATTCTCCAGTATGTTTTAGTTGTAGTGTTTGGCATTTGTTTTGGGTCACTTAAATAAATACCGAAAAAGTGAAGAAATATTCCCCAACATTAGTGAACAGTGTTTGATGATGCTCATAAATGATTCCTTGTTTTCAAATAGAAATTGAGTTCATGATATCACCTCCCGGGATGTGCTGTCTAAACCATCCTGTATGCAACTGTTCTGTTCCTACATAATCTGAAAATGTCAAACAACAAACGCGATGGAGCTGAAACTCCTGCTGTATTTAATAGAAACTGTATATTATTACTTTTTCCATATGAAAATACTTTTACCCAGTTAAAGTTGTAATGCACGTGCAACACGATCACAGCCCGTGCTTGAACAATGAAAATTCAAGCAAATTTCCAACGCCTTATCCGACCATGAATGTAACCGTTTTGCCTAGTCTCGCTAGATGTCAAGGACCACGTTGCTAATCAGGCTGAAAAACGACCTAACCTGAGTCAGAAACTATCATCGAAAACGAATAATTATCACAACTTGAACTCAGCTTGGATTGTCAGCTTATTATTGTCCTGGTGCCGTTACACAAAAAGCACAAATGGCTTCTTTTAACAAAGCCAAATAGGATATTATGGGTATATTTTTCTTGTTTCTTTCTTCGGTTTCAGAATGAATATTAGACAATTTATGTCATGCTCAAGAAATAAAAACGTTTCCACGTTTCGACGAAAGTCGACGACATACTGCCTTGAAAACGCAAATAATCCAAAGCAGCTCATCTGTTCTGCTCCGAAATGAAGTCAAACTATTGTTAAAGAATCACATGAATCAAAAGGCTCTTGGAGGAATTTAATGACGTGTATATCTTACGCTCTGTAGGTGATTCCCATCGACATCGACATTGACAAAGACAAGTGAACGAATATTGAGAAAGAAAATGTTGCCTCGGTTTAACGCCGGGTCAAATAAACTAGCAAACTCTCAAAAGTAAATTTAATCTTTATCCCCGAAACAACACACTGTTGGATTGTAACTATCCCACTATCTAATGTCTGTTTTCAAATGAAAAACTATAGCCTATATGTCATGAATCCCTTGAACAGTGCTCAATTAATCCACATAGCACTTGCTTGAGTTACGAGAGGGTATAAAAAATTCTAATTATCACCAAGACGTATTCAGGGTAAAAAACTTTATCTTGATTTCTTGTCCTTAAGACTTCTATATACATAGGCCCAATCCAGAGTTCTCCTAACATTTCTTGACCTTGTGCAGACGCCTGAATAGAACCCCTTGATTTCATGGAAAACCAACCCCACCTCTTGAATGACCTCATTGATATCGTCAAACGGCGTCCACTTTGGCTCATCTGTGAGTAGCATATGACCGGTTTGAAAATCCCTTTCCATCTCACAACACTATCATAATATCTTCACAAAATACAGATTTCATCTCCTCGTGAATCTGTCGAGAAGTGCAACCCTTCAAGTGCAAAACTTGATAACACTGCGCGCCTCAATCTTCCATACTTGGGTTTACTCGTGATGAACTAGCACAAGATTGAATGAAGGAAGTAAAAGGTTTTGGTCCATTAACTAGATAAGGAGCACTGATGAGATGGGAGATCCTGACCTGAGGAAATCTAGGACTTGTGCATTTATGGCTTTGGCATTACAGGGTGGGCTAAGCAACAGGGGACAAAATGTGGTTCACAGACACTGAGACAGACTATTGGATCGTATGCCATACACCTTTCTATCTTTGACAGCGTTTCACGCAGGTCATGAGCAGAGACGTAAGGTTTCCTTTTCACCACATGCCTCGGCTTTTAACCATAAGTGGTTTGCATTATCATACTATGTTAAGATCATATTGTCCTGTCTAAGTGTAGGTATTAACCACTATCACCACTGATGTGTTTCATCGAGTCATCATGCGGTCCATTTAATTGGCTGGAAGTGACCTGTAAGTGAATATGGTATGTCCTTCAACTAGACAATATAAGCTTATATCATCAGGTTTGGGGTGAAGATCGTGTATATGAATACTGAATATTCTATGAGGAAGAAACTTCTGAAAACTGACCAACAGTTTCAGAGTTCCTGTGGTCCTAGTCCATCCATACATTAGTCAATGTATATATGTCTCCTGGGTTTCATGCATGGGGTTTCTTTGAACTTCAGCTGGTTCAGCACACTGTTGAGACTGCAAGTAGGTGAGGTGAGGTGAAATTAGGCTTAACTTCGTGCTTGAGAATATTTCGCTCATATGACGACGTGCATGCGTGTGTATGTGTATGTGCGGGTTGCTTGTACTAGCCCAGACTGAAGCTGGTTTTATAGTGCTAGCCCACTGAGATACCATGCCGCAGTGAAGCATGAATACCCCACTCAGACACATTATACTGACTCCTAGCCGACTCAGTCCTTGTTGTACCCATTAATGCCGAGCGCCAGACAGGGACCAACTTGTACCATATTTTAACGTCTTTTGGTATGACGCGGTCAGGGATCGAACCCGCGACCTTCCGCTCTCCGTGTGGACGCTCTAACTACTACACCATGGAGGCGGCGAGATCAAGGAGTGGTTGTGTAGCTCAGGTCATGCCAGGAATCTCCACAACAGCTGGTGTGTTTCAACCTGGTGATCATGTGGACTATTTCCCTTCATCCTGAAATGACCTGTTTGAATCACATTGCATGTCTGCAATTCACTGACAAAGCGATGCTCATACGTTTTGGTGAAGACACAAACATTTCCAGACTAACCCCACGTACAGTAGATCACGAGCAGGGAAAGTGACAAACGATTAAACCACAGCTCTGCACTGACTTTCATTCTTTGTGTTATGTCAGACAAACAGGTACTCTTTCACTGCCGTGTCTGTGCATAGAAATAAGAAACCGTATTTATCACAGAATATATCGGATATGCGTGCCTCATCGTTGTCTTCTAACGTGAGCAGCTCCCTGACAAACTCCCCGACTCTGTCAGCTGTATCACCTTGTCCCTGTCTGCAAGCAGGATGCCGTCTCCTGTGCTGGTAGTTGTGATACCAAAGGCGAAATCAATGGCACTGTCACCGGTAGGGTGGGTCTCCACACAACATCCCTCTTGCGTCAGACATGTCACAGGCTCACATTCCAAGTCAGACACGAGTAGGTTGCCCCTTGTTGTTGACACACATGTACCTGGGGTAGGTAAACATCAACTCATCATTGTGTGTATTAATTGTCCTCAACACGTGTCCAGACATGTCAAGGATTTCAACAATGCCGTAACCTTGACAATTCTCGCCACCTGCTGCCAGAGATGAAAGGTTCAGAACAGTCAGACTGTAGTAAGTATTGTTAGTGAGGATGGCAGAGAGCAGCACCAGGTCAGGGTCACCTCACTGTTACAATCTGGCGGGACGAAGGTACAGTAACCATTACTTGCTTCTGCTTCCAACTGTGTTATCCCATATGGAGAGTTATCCAGGGAAGCTTACTGTGGCATGGGTGATTGTCTCTAGTGTACAAAGATTTCAGGCAATTGTTAGAATGGTCAATGACAACACATGTCTGTATATCATCTACAGCCAGGACTGTTATGCACCTTTAAGGTAGGGCTCATCCTCATCATCCTCCACCCTCCCATCTATCGTGTCAACCAGCACTGGAGACAGTAGACATGTGGCCCTGGTATGTGACGTCAATTTTCCCAAACTGTAGTTTATCTAGGGTCTCCAGGACCCTGAAAGTGTTAGGTGTAAAACCTGATGTCATCTATTCTCCGGTGTCTGCTGCCTCTGCATTCCCTGACACCCACCATTTCTACAGCTGCAGACTCCCAGACCCGACACGCGTCATACAGGTCCATCTCACAGTCCGATACCAAGGCCTGGTCAATGAACTCACAATGTTGTCTGTACATCTGCATCTCGATCTCTTCCAACTTCACATCAGCTTGGAGTTGGTCGGCGTATGTCTGTGATATGGTATTCAGTTCATCCAACAGTTGTGTTTCTTTCTGTTTAATCTTGGTAATCGCTGTCTGGCAGATCAACCTAATATTTTGAACAGCTGACTCTGTGATTCTAGAATTACTTTGGAGCTTCGTTCTCGTATGTCTATTTTCTTCGATCTCACTTTCAGTCTCTTTCTCCATGCCAAGTCTCTTCTCCATCAGTGCTGCCTCCATCCATGGCTTCATAGACTCAATGGTGACGACAGTCTTACAAGCTCTGTGGTGGATGATACAACATGTCTGACAGGCAGCCTTCCCACAGTCTTGACAGTGGAACTCAACACGGTTACTCTTGTGTTCCGTGCACTTGATCCTCCGTTTGACCTTTGACCTAGATGACAGATCACACAGGTCATGGTTCAATAAAGTAGGGTCACCCGGTGTATCTTCACACATTTGTCACAGAGGACCACTTCACACTCAGCACACCACAAGACCCCCTGAGTTGTTTCCTAGTTGCTGACAGATCGTACAACAGGTGCTCGAGGTCACTGTAAACACAAGTACATATGTGCATATTTTCAATGCAAATTGAAAAGGCTACGGAAAGGAAGCAGGGCAATTTTTAACACACACAGATGTCAATGTAAAGTCTACCACTGGTTTTAAATATACACACACACACGCAGGCACAACGCACACGCACACACGAATAATCATATATTTTCACTTTACCTTGCACATCTTCCTCGGACCTATAGGTGTCAATCAGCCCCTGTATAATGATGCTGGGTTTGATCTGCCCTGCCCACTCTCCACCGGACTGCTGGGGTGGGGACCTTGGTGTCTTGTCGACAGCAGGGACAGGGGATGGTCTTGAC